TATTCTACTTATTTTTACTTACTTATTACACATAGTGCATAAATATTTTTTATTTTTTACTTCTAATGCCATTAAGAGTATTCTATACGCTCTGTATCCCGTTAATAGATATATACATATTACACCCAGAAATAATTAATGAACTAAAAATTAATCATAATTCAATGACACTTTATAATCAATTGCCAGAAAGTAATAAGCACATACTAGAACATTATGCACAATTACCAAAAAGTAAAAATTATTATGGTGGTATGTCTTATAATTCCTGCGCAGAAATAGCGAAACAGCAAAAAATCAATGCCGTATTCCTGGGGATGTTTTCAACGGATAATTTATCAAAGTCAGTATTTAATCAGGCCATAGCAGGAGAAATAAAAAATTTACTAATTGTACCTGAATATATAAACAGTGAATCAGGTAAGTCATTTATTATACCAAATGGGAAAAACCGGGCAATGATAACAAAAATTAATGAAAAACAAAAAATAACGGACAATTTAATTAGCAAATTTTTACAACTAATGAAAAAATCAACTGAAAAACCAAAACCTGATGTAAGTGCATTATACATAGCCGGGTATACAGCAGAATCCTCAAATGAACCATTATTACACCTTATTGAAGAGAGGATAAGGCTTAATATACAGTGCATGATAATATTTAATTTGGCTGATCCTGGTGTAGTAGAAAGGTCTTACGCTAAGATAAAGCCATTTATAGAGGCAGCTGACTGGGTTATAGGGAACAGAGAAGAATTTACATCTTTATATAAGACAATGTGTAATAAATCATGTGTAAACCCTGATGAATTAACGGATTTTATTAATAAAAATTTTAGTAATGCCGTTATAACAGATGGAAGTGAGCCTGTAACGGTTTTTTATACTAAAAATTCAGATAAAAAATGGGTTACATTAAAACCTCCTCAAATTGAAGTGAATAACCCAACAGGTGCAGGTGACATATTCGCAGCAACCTTCTTCTCAAATATTTTAATTGATTCTGGTGACGTATTAAATGCACTAAATGAATCAATTACTAGAACTAATGAGTATTTAACTAAAATGACTGTTAGAACTAATAAATAATTTATTTTTATAATTGCTTAAAATTTTATATTGCTAATTTTATTATTACACATTGTGTATTAAATTTATTTCTTATTTATTTTTGTAATGAATGAAGGATTTAACAGAGCACTCTCCATATTCTCACCGGACGGCAGAATATTTCAAGTGGAATATGCACAATTAGCATCAGAAAGAGGGTCACCAGTTATATTTTACTCTAACGGTAAGACAATTGCTGTAGCAATCGAAAAAAGAGCCGAGAGTAAGCATAAAGTACTATCCGACTTGGACAAATTTAAAGAGGTTGAAACTGGGATTTACTTGACATTTGCTGGTATATGGCCAGACAGTCTTGTTATTATTGATAAGGCAGTTCTTATAGCAAGGGAGTATGCGTATAAAATAGGTGAAAGCATTGACATACTTAAATTAACACTGGAATTAAGTGATTACATACAGAAATATACAATAACTGGTGGGTATAGGCCATTTGGTGTTAAAGTGGTGCTATTTGGGTTCCATAAAGGCAGTTCAATTATTTCAATGATTGAGCCTGATGGTAATTATGCAATGTATAAAGGGGGTGCAATAGGTACAAAGAGTGACAAAGCCGTGAAGGAATTAGAAAGCATAACAGAAGAAGAGCCAATTATTGCAGTGGCTAAGACTCTTTATAGCGTAGCACAGAAGGATGCAAATAAAATGTCATTATTTCAGATTACACCTGAAATGGCTACAATATTATCACAGGCAGAAGTATCTGAGATAATAGATTCATTTGAATAATAAAGATAATACGGTTTATATAGTTAATTACAACAGAATGAATAAATATTAAGTGGAATTAGTCAGTGAATGAGTGAATAAGTGAGTGAATAAGTGAATGAGTGAATAAGTTAGTAAGTGAATAAGTGAGTTAGTAAGTGAATGAGTTAGTAAGTGTATATGTATATGTGTATGACTAAGTGGATGAGTGAATGAATTAGTCTATGACTGACTAATTGACTTACTGACTGTATGTATATGACTAAGTATGTGGATGACTGAATGAATTAGTCTATGAATATATATGAATAACTTACTGTATATATATGACTAACTTACTGTATATATATGACTGACTTACTGACTAACTGAATATATGTATATGACTGACTGACTAACTAAGTGTATGTATGTATATGACTAACTAAGTGTATGTGACTAACTGTATATGACTGTATGACTTACTGTATGTGTATGACTGTATGACTAACTGAATATATGTATGTGACTAAGTGACTGACTGACTAACTGACTAACTGAGTGTATATTACTGACTGACTAATTGACTGACTGTACATTGCTAATCTGTATGTATTCTGACTGACTGTATATTCTGTGTGTACTAATTGGTCTATTACTGCTTATACGCTAATAATTTACAGGAGTATAAAAATGTATAAAATGCATTAGTGCGTATAAGAATATGCCGTATACAGAATACGTATAATCTATTGTATAAATAGGATTAGATTCATAAGAATGAATATTTATTGCTTACTACTTCATGTCACCAGAAAGAACTGTGGAGAAGCACTTTGAGCAGAAGAATCCTTCAGCATGGGATGACATAAATATTTCTGGTCCACATGTTGGGCACACCTTCTTAAGAATTTGCACATTGCCATCTTTATCCACATTGAAGTGAGAGAGGCAGGCAAGCTTTCTTTTCTCTTTAACTACCTTTACTTTCTTTGGGGTGGTGTATGCCTTTCTCTTCTTCTTCTTTCCTCCTCCTCTCAGTCTTAACACAAGATGGATTGTACTCTCTTTTTGTATGTTGTAGTCAGAAAGTGTTCTCCCATCCTCCAGCTGCTTTCCTGCAAAGATTAATCTTTGTTGGTCGGGGGGTATTCCTTCCTTGTCCTGTATCTTTGCTTTTACATTCTCTATTGTGTCACTTGGTTCTACTTCAAGTGTAATGGTTTTACCAGTGAGTGTCTTTACGAATATCTGCATGGCTGGGGTATAAAAATTAAAACTAAAAGTGCGAAAAAATATATGGACACTCTAAGAAAGTTCTTACGGGTAAAAAGAAAATCAGAGTATTTAACGGACAGAGGGAAGATAAAAATAACGAAGAAAGACAAAAGGAAGATCAACAAATACAAAAGTAATCTGGCTGTTGGACCATTTATTAATGAAAGGCCAAATTTAAGTGTATTTGTGTGTGACACGAGGCAAGAGCCACTAATGACAAAAGTATCAGAGAAGGAGAAGCAGGATAATTTACGAAGAGTGAAAGAGTCTGAAAAAATATTCTTAGAAAAGCAGAAGAGAAAACAGGCAAAACGGGAGAACAGAGAGACTGTTGAGGATGTAGAAGACTTATGGGAGGGCAGGGAGAGTTCTTCTATTACTACAGACAGAAAGCTTAGCAGAAAAACAGAAAGACCAAAGGACAGTGATGTTTATAATAGCACAGACTTAAATCTGCGCACAACGAGAGATGGGATATGGAAGAATGTACACTTCTATAAAGATTCAATCAGAAGGCCAAGGGTGTACAGGTCTGAGCTGGAAAATCTTTATAAAAAGCTTGACCCAGTAAAGGTAAAAGTACCTTCTGATACGGAAATACCTGTTAAGTCATACACAGACATACATTATAAAGAGAATATAAGGGATGTGATTAGTATGTCTAGTGGTATATACTATATTGTAATACACAGTTCATCTATTTCTTTATCTGATGCAGATGGGTACATGCCAATTAGGAATATTATGTTTGTTAAAGGCACTGAAGATGTTCTAATTAGATGTGCGTACTTGTCACCAAATGAGAAGAAACTAGCTATAATTACGTTTGGTCATGGGATACTTATAATAGATACAGACAGACTAATCAATGCATCCGAAGAAACCGAGAGGATAGATGTGGACGTACAAAATGAATACTGTAGGATATTCCCAGACAAAACATTTAGGAAAGGTGCCTGGCACGGCAAGAGTGGATACTTTGCTGCAATACTTCATGGGAAGGTTGTTATTATAAATACAAAACAGAAGAAAGCCGTGGTGTTCTATAAAGGAACACAGAACATTCAGCACGTAGAGTTCCATCCAACTAAGAGTATACTCATTATGATGGCGCCATCATGCATTCTGTTCTATGGGCTTTCTACAAAGAGAAAAGACAGTAAAAAGACAATTTATCACATAACAGCAGCAAATACGCTGTGCATGTCCATGGGAACAGAAACAATGTTTGTGGGCACTGCTACATCACAGGTGCAAATATTCCGCCTAACAAAAGACTTTGACGCTAATTTCATTCGGGCAATATATACGCATGATACGCCAAGAAAGATAGTCCTCCACCAGAAGTACGGATATGCTGCAGTATTTGATAGGTCTCCAACTTTCTTGGTATACGGTAATGGACTAAACACAGACTTACCTCCAAATGAAAGAGCAGGCGCAATCCATAAATACGGATCAGTCTACAGATCAGGACTCTTCCATAAAAAATACCCAAGAGCATTATTTAGTCTTGCAAATAGACTGAACCTCCTGTGCCCAGATTATTCCTGTGCTACTCAGTGATTATATAATAAATAGAGATAATTTACAGTGGACCGTCCTTTATATTCTTATGGTATAAGTATTAGCTTACTTAAATATTTTTAAATAGAAAGCAGTTTATTAGCATATGGTTCTAGAGACCTCAAACAAATAACCGTCAAGCACCATACACTCCCTTCCTATACTCTCTAAGCCGTTCCTCATGTCCCTAGGATAGCCATAATAAGTTAATGTATTTGACTGCTAAGGTGGAGTACCATGGCTTATATAGTAAGTCATTATAAGGCCACTCCTTAATGGGATGATGGCACTAAGATATAGTACCACCTTTATTAATAATATCTACAATAAAAGAATATTTTAACATATTTATACATTACAAATAATAATATTTATAAATATTAAAGAATGTTTATAAGACCAACCACACGCATTAATGAAGAGAAATTCTGTGAGGTATATAAAAAGTTAGATAAAAGATTTAATGATACATTAGATTATAATTCTGCAGTAAAAATGGTTTATATAAACTCAGAAGAGTATAAAGCATACGATATACTAAAAAGATCACTTACATTTATGAACTATCATGAGCAATTAGACATTACAACAGAAGTAATTGAAAATAATCCTAATTCATTATGTGCATGGGAATACCGGATGTACCTTATAAAGAATAAAAAAATAGTCAAAAAAGGGAAAGATGAGAAAGACAAGAATGAAGGAAAAGCAAGTAAAGATAAGAAGGATGTGAAAGACAGTAAAGATAGTAAAGATAAGAATGATGATGTGAAAGACAGTAATGATGAGGAAGACAGTAATGATAAGAATGAAGTGAAGAATGAAAAAGCATGGAAGGGATAAAACAGAAGGAAAAGATGGTTTGGATGGAGTAGATGAAATGGATGGGATAGATAGTAAAAATATTCAATTCATTAAAAAAGTACTTCATGCGAATAATAGAAATTTACATGCATGGATGCACATCTCAGAGTTATATAATTATTCTGACAGAATAATTGAAAATGAAATATCTAAGTGCATATCTAACTACAGTGCGTATTTTGCAACTATACAGAATAATACGTATATGAACATAGAACACGATGATTTAAAAAACATTGTATACACAGACCCAGAAATATCCTCACCATGGGTGTTTATAAGAATGGTCGAGGTGTGTAAAAGGTTTAATAGGATGAATTCTTATGTAATAGCATTTGACGATAGAATAGAAATAATCTTAAAAACCCCATGTAAGACTAAAGTGTATTTAGAGTATGGGGGTAAAGTCGTGGAATACTCTGTGGACTTAAAAAAGGTTTTCCCTATTTATTTCTCAGAGAATGGATTTGGTTTTAATGATATTACTTCCTTTGTTATTAAAACAAAGAACTATCCAAGTATAAAAATAGATGTAAAGAAGCCGTATAATCCGGATACTCCCAAGTTTATTGATGAATTTATTAGTAAGCACTCAAATGTGAATAGTCTTGTGACAAAACTGTACTTTGTATTTGATGAGTCCGAGAGGAGTAAAATAGTTAGTAAAATACTAGGAATAGACCCGAATAAGCAGCAAATGTATTTAGAAATGAAAAGGGGGTTTACTGTATATAGTGGGATTGAAATGTAATTATAAGTACAGGAAGAGTCTTCTCTGGGTTATAATTGTACTGGGTGGTGTTTAAAAAGCATAACGGGTAAATTTACTGTTATGCACTAAAGCAAAAATTATGTGAAATCCGGTAATTAATTTATTTCTGGTTACTTCCCGAGTGACATGAGAATGGAAAGAGGGTCACCCCCATTTTCCTTCAATAGTTTAATTGACTCTTCTCTGCTGACTCCTCCCTGCTCCATTACTACTTTGATGTCCTCTTCTGTAATGTTTATGTCAGAAGCGGCGCTTTCCTTGGATTCTTCTACTGGTGCATCCTCTACTACATCCTCTTCCTGTGGGGCTGCTTCAGCATGTCCACACTGTTCTGTGCACTGGTGCTGTTGTTCCTGTGCCATTGCTTGTAATCTTGCCTTTCTCTTTTCTGCTGCTTGCTTGGCTGTTTTTTCGGCTAAATCAAGAGACCCCAGGACAAGAACCATGTCAGTGTTTTTAATGTGGTATGCTTGTACATCTCTAATCGCAAATTGTGTTCTTTGCTTCATCAAATAGAAATCTTGTAATCCAATAAGCTTGTCCATTGGAACAGTCTTTTGTATGGTTTCAACTAATTTGTTTCCCTTTTTTAGAATTTTACTCATGGGGTAAAAAAACTCTGCGAATAATTGGGCATAAATAGTTTATTCACGGGGGAAGAGGAATAAATGCTAAATGATGCAGCAAAGGACAAACAAGACATATCCACATTAATAAAGGAATTAAGCGAAAGAAAAAGGAAAAGAAAAGAAATCTCTGCTAATTTACAGGGGCCTGCTAAATCCAAGGATATTTTTGATGAAAAGATCAAGCTAGATCATGTTTTTGGAGAAAGGCCCTCTAAAGGAATATTTCAAAAGGCTTGGTCAAGAATGCAAGGCATATGGAAGAGTTAAAAACACATTCTATAAAATCTATTTGTTTTAAGAATGTTTTAGAGTAATTGGTATGAATAAACAATGGGCCCATTAATTGGTCCTTTCCTGTTTAATAATTGGTGGAATTGACTAATGGGATGTTCTTATAGAATATTGTAGAGCATTCTCATGCCATTTATGTTTTATTTTGTGTTTATACCTGGGCGGTAACCATGCGAATTTTGAATATAGAGGTATGGCAATGTTTCAGACAAAGTATTTAAGGAATATGAATAATTTAGAATATGAAGATTACATTACAATTAGCTATTACTCCATTTTTAATTATTGAAGCAGTTCGTGCATTCCACAAAGCAGAGAATAATGCTTCTAGTAATGAAATTGCATACAATAATTTGCTAAGCACTGCAAAAGCTGCAGCAGAGAAACCTAGCAAGCACCAGCCTAAGAAGCACCACACAGAGAAAGTAAAAGGTGGCAAAATAGTTAAAGCTAACAAATGGGGCAAACTCCCATCAAATATCCTTAAGAAGGTCAAAGGAAAGAAACCTGTAAAAATGACAGTTGAACCAATGAGCATAGAAGATAGTTTCTCGCCCAGCTTAAAACAAGCCACCACCATAAGTAATCTGCTTAACCCCAAGGCCGCTATGACATCTAATACATCTCTACTTGCTGAGTTAATAGAAAGGTCTGCAGGAGCCAATTCTCTTACTAAACCAGAGAATTACACTCAAGAATTTGAAGAGGAAGAGGAAGCAGCAGCACTTGATCAAGACCCAGCAATCTTATTCAACACAGAAGCATTTGGTAAGAGCATCAAAGCAGAGAAAAAGAAAGCATTAAAAACAGCCCCCACACCAGAACCAGTCTCTACTATTCACCTTAAAGATAAATCCGCAGACAAACCCCATCCTAAGAAACATCTACCAAAATCAGAGAATACCACTAAATTAGAAGTAGCAGAAAAATCTGGCGAGAAAGAGAATTTATCTCTAATAAACAATAATTTAGAGAAGATGGAAGTCACAATGCAATCATTCATTAAAGAAATCAAAGCATTAAAGGAAACCATCTCTGACTCCAATGAATCAAGCATTATTAGCGCAGAGGCATCCCCACACAAGGCATACAAACTGAGTGGGAATAAAAAACACGCAGACTCAAAAAAGAAGAAAAAGGGAGTAAGCAAATCTTCTGAAACAGATTTCTAAGGCTTTATATCTGTCTATTATAATATTTACATTATAAATATTGAATAAATTAGACTAACTGATAGTTTTTATAGCACTTATTTTATTTATAGTAGTTTCAAATATGAAAATTAGTTTATTAATATACGGTATAAGAGACATTTAGTAACTAAAATTATATTTCATGCTGATTTTATTTTAATATGGCGAGTTATATTGATGATAATGTGTTAATGGAAAAAGTACACGAGGAATTCAAAGATAGAAATGGAAAGATGGAATTAGAAGATATCGATAAATTATCTAATATAATAACAGATATAAACAGAGAAGAAAGAATATTCACTGATTTACCTGAACCACTAAGTATTCTGGCGTATAATATACTTTATATACAAATGTATTATAGAATTTTATGTAAGAGTATTATATATACTGATGATATTGCTATATCAATAGTTAATAACTCTATAAGTCATACGGAGTTAATTATAGATGTAATTAAAGAAGCAGCAGAGGGATTAAACAGTGAAGATAAAAAGCAAGCATTCTATGATTTAATGGGGGGTAACCATATAATTATAGCAGAAGTATATATACTTAGAAGGAAATTTTTCGATTATTCTATTAATAGACTGTGTGAACAAGAAAACATATCTGAATTGGATGATACAGTAACCCCAGATAATGCCATGGTTAAACTATGCGAGTTAACCAAAAATTCCAAAGAGCATTCTAGACTACAGAGAGTATTAGATATACTAATGAAACACGGTAATAATTTAATTATACCAGATAATGATGAAGTAGAACAATCAAATGTTAATAATTTAGGAATAAGTTATGACGATATCTATTCATTACAACTATTCAAAAGAGCAGGCATGGAGTATTTTCTAAATTCTAATGAATTTTTAAATAAGTCCATTTATGGTTCAATTTATATTAAAACCGAGCATAATGAACCTCCATTCAAATACTTTATTACTAATTTGTATAATTCAATATTCCGTATGTCTATAAATAGAGATGTACACAGCACTGAATCATATAAAAATAAGAGTATAAATAAAATTAAAGAATATTTAAGCAAATTACAAAAAAAGAAGAAAATCGGCATTATTAATGAACTTAAAGAATCAAAAATACTGAAAAATATAGAAAGCCATAAATACTTCAATATCAAAGGGTTTAAGAATAACGTAATTAATAATTATTTAAAACCAGTAGAATATAATACTTCAATTATTATTAATGGTATAGTTAAACATAAATTTAAAAAGACTTTAAATTGTATTGTTGTTCCTATTGTTATAATTCTACTGTTGGTTATTGGCACTGTATTCTTATTGTATTTTGCTACTGTAAATAAGACTATAACCCGAAATAATTTTAATAATTCATTTTTTATATTTGAGTAAAATTAAAAAGTATTCATTTTTATGTTTAAGTACGCTTAAAGAATAAATAATTATACTTTAATTAAAAATACTGTAATTTATTTGTAGTAAATATATATTTTATATCTTATGACACTTCAATGGTTCTATTTGATGGACTCCCCTTCTCTAAATACACAACAAGGACTGCCCCTTCTAAAACTGCATTTTTTACTTTTTTATCATTTCCTATTGAAAATTGCTTATCTATATCCTGTGAATTGCTTGATTTATTATTTCCCCTTCCACTTTTTTCCTTTTGTTTAACAGTAACTCTTACATTTGTATCATTTGCTGTCACTGCTTCTTCTACAGATATATTCTCTTTATCAACACCTTTAAATAATTTTACTGTGTGCTTCATTTTATTAAGATTTTCATTTATTATACTCTGATTCTTTTCTATTTCCTTCTGTATGTCATTGTGAATAGAAAACGGGTCACTGTCTTCATCCATTCTTATATCATTAGAATGGCCTCTTTTACCTTTGCCTATTTTAGACAAACCGTTGCTCCCCATAATAAAAAACAGTATTCCTTCGTATTAAATAACTTTTTTATAATCTGATTTTGAATTTATAAAACATTCTTTATAATTAACCAACAGTTTTTTATAATTAACCAATTATTCTGGGGTGTTTTATATTAGTAACTAGTTTAAGAATGCTTAATTGGTTTATTTGGAAGCAATTGGCAGTTTTTATTATACAACCAAGCATACAGAACGTGAGAGTCACAGGCCTACCTATACGAAGTCGTATGTGACTATAATACACAGATGTATAAAGCCACATAATATGAGAATATTAAAAAATTGACTGAGCTTCAGCTATGTAACAGTGGATAAACAACAATAATAAATAACCATTCTGTTCAAGTTAATTTAAATACCGTTATTTTTTATTTATAGCACAGTAACTACTAGGTTTTTACTTCTTAAATATTCTACAGTAGAGATAGGTACAGCTGTCTTATTAAATTCAATATAAATTAAATACTTCTCACATGTAGATACTAAATCATATATCTTAATGGGGTGTATCCTACAACCAATTAACTTAACAGTAGTAATAGGATGCCTCCTTAATTCCTTTATAATTGCAATGGTAATCTCAATCCCATCAAAATGAATTATTCTAATAACTGGGATTCTTTGGATTATCCTGTACACATCAAAATATCTTATTACACAAGTACTGCACTTACTCTCATCCCAAAATATTAAAATGTTCTTGTCTGCTATTCTAACCCTTTTAATATTTATGGTTATTAAATCAATTATTCTATTTCCTATCTGTTTAACCGTACTCCCTAATATGTCTATGGAAGTTGCATTTTTAAAATTCTCTTCCTTAAAATTTTTTATATTTACGTTATTAAGAATTATTCTTTTTGCCCTCCTAATAATTCGCCATAATTCATCAGAAATAACAGTATTTTTAATACCAACTGTGTTAATTATACAATTATTAAGGGATCCCTTAACTGTACTTATATTATCTAAGTCTAACACAGATATTTCACCGTACACCTTTGATAAATTTATTTTATTTCTGGCTCTAAGCTTTCTTCCTTTAATTTCTGTACTTCCCGTGGGGAATATTCCCAATGAGAAATATTTCGACATTTTATAAATGAACCACCCAGAGAATCCTTCTATTTTATGCCAAGGTAATTCTGATTCTTTATTTTCCTGTAGGATTGGCTTAAATGCAGGCTTTCTTCCTGTGAGTCTTTTCATAAAAAATTATTTAATGCTTAGTAAGTCTATCCGTATAATAAACCAAGCCAATTCTGTTGAATTAATAAACAACAAGGCGTATACAGGCAAGATAAGAATAGACAGAAAAATGAACATAATAACAGACAAGTCAATCATAAAAGCAAAATATATTAGATATATACTAATAAGTAATGAAGAATTAACAAAAATATTAAACACAATAAGTAATAAGTAATATATAATACACATAGTGTAATAAGTAATATAACATAGTGCATTTAGTAATATAACATAGTGTAATAAGTGATATATAATACACAATGTATAATATATAGTGTAATAAGTAATAAGTAATATATAATACACATAGTGTAATAAGTATTAAGTAATCAGTAATAACTATACAATGTATAATATATAGTGTAATAAGTAATCAGTAATCCGTAATATATAATACACATAGTGTAATAAGTAATCAGTAATATATTATATAATATACATAGTGTAATAAGTGTTAATATATAATATACATAGTGTAATAAGTATTAATATATTCTATTATTTATTATACTATACATACTAAGTAATAACTATACAATATATATTATATATTATATATAGTGTGTTAAGTGTTAATATATTCTATTATTTATTATACATTATGTATTATATATTACTTATTATACTATGTGTAATAATACTTTACTAAATGCACTAATAATGCACACAATTACTCCTCCACATATGCCAAACACTAAATAAGGAGTAGTAAAATCAGGTACAATTGGTCTGTTATATACAATACGCTTATTAGTCATTTCATTATCAACTGCAATCACATTTGCTATGTGAAGGCCTGATTCAATACTTAATGGACATGTACTACTAAGTTTTATTCTATAATTTACTGTTATAAATTCATTATTTGTGATTATTTCGTTAGAATTGCTTATTATAGGCAGAATATTCTGTGTAAATTGTACACCAATCAGTGAATTACTGCTTATAACAAGGGTTCTATTTAAGCCATAACCTAAACACTTAATAAGTAGAGAAGGTTTCATATAAAAATATTATTTATTACACAATATATAATAAGTAATATATAATACACAATATGTAATAAGTAATGAATAGTTAACAGAGATAATGAAAAATAAACAATTTATAATATAAGTAATATATAATACACAATATATAATAAGTAATATATAATACACAATGTATAATAAGTAATATACTACTTATTAGGCATAGTATAATAAGTTATAATCTATACTATATATAATATATAATAAACTATAAGTAATAAGTAATATATAATAAACTATAAGTAATAAGTAATACATAATATACAGTACACTACTTATTACACTATGTATATTATATAATACACAATATGTAATATATACTGTATATAATATACTACTTATTACACTTATTACACTATATACTGTATATTGTATATGACTTATTACACTATGTATAATATATAACATACTATAAGCAATACACAATGTATAATATATAATACACTTATTACACTATGTATAATATATACTGTATATTGTACACTACTTATTACACTATGTATAATATATACTGTATAATGTATATGACTTAATACACTATGTATAATATATTATAATGTTAATTTTTATGTGTTTCTGTGCTGGTGGTTTCTTTGCTGAATGATTTTGTATTCTCTGGTAGGCCGTATAACTCATACGATACATTTATGGCCTTGGGTAATTTGCCTGTAACTACTCCACATATACAGAGATATCCAATAGATCCATACTCATCATTATTAGATAGTCTTATGGTTAATGTATCTACTGACTTATGCTTATACGCTGGTATTGTTATGGGGAATATATGATCACCTCCTGGTAGGAAATACTCTTCAGGTACTTTTGGTTTATATGTTAGTGTGACGTACTGATTGTTAATAAATACTTCTATTTTAGTGAATGTAGTCATTATCTCTATCCTATTTAGTAATACCTTGCATATAAAAGGTATTTTAATGACTAATCCTTTGTTGCTCTTAGAGTGTGCTGACATTTTTACATTTCTTATTGATTCACTCCTCTTAAGTAATTCCTTACAACTATCTTTGTCCTTTTCATTGATTGTTGTTACTTTGTCTATATCTATCGATGAAAATAATGATTTAGATGGTACTCCATCATTACACACACAGTCTGCTGTACACCCCATAAAAATATAAATTTATACTTTACTGTAAATTTATTGCACAATATGTAATAAATTATATACTTTACTGTAAATTTATTGCACAATATGTAATAAATTGTATTACATAGTGCATTATATACTGATTATTGTACTAAAAATAAAAATAGATTTATGCTGTACTTATATAAATATAAAACTTATTACTTATTACGCATGGTTTATTAAATTGTGTGTTACTTCTTATTATATATTATAATATGCATTATAAATTATGATTAAGCTCATGACTTATTGATAATTATGTAAATTTTTTGTTCACATAGTCAAAATTAAAATCATCCATCTCCTTTGGGGTTGAAGAAGTGTCCCATACACTGCCCTGACCCCTTTCATTCATATTTATGCCCTGACCCCTTTCATTTATATTTATGCCTTGACCCCTTTCATTTATATTTATGCCCTGACCCCTTTCATTTATATTTATGCTGTGATGGTCTTCAATTGTCTTTGGTTTTATATACCGAATACGCCTCTCCATTGAACTCTGCCCTACCGTTGGAATTTTAGGAGATATAAATCCACCTGCCCTTCTATCTCCATCATCTGGAGTCTGTCTCTGATACGGTGATGTATACTGCTTTGTCTTTCTGGGATTAGCAGATACATCGCATATACACTTTAAATCTGTATGGTACATCTCCAATAATTTCTTTACACTGTCAATGTACATATCTATCTGACCGGGTGATGTGAATTTCCTTTTGGATATAAATCCACCTGTTGCTGTGTTGATTACGTCTCCTTTCCTGAATATTACTTCAATATAATCCGTATTTGCAACTGCATTTATAGAATAATGAATATTTCCCCCTATAAATTTAGTTGTCCTGTATATCCTTGGATTAATACTTCTCTCTAACCCCATGTACACTTCATTTTTTTTTGTATTCTCAGTTCTCCTGTACTCCTTTATTATCCCTCCAATTTGTAGTTTTATCTTTTGCTTCTTGTCTATCTTCATTCTGTCATACTTCTTTACATTATAATCCTGTATCTTTAATAATTCAAATACTTCTGGGGATGGGTCTAAACAAATAGTGGCTGTTTTAGCATATAACTCAGACTCTGTGACTTCATCTGTTTTTGTTGATAGAAGTAGGCCTTGCGTATACGGTAACCCAGCAATAGTACCACGTAATAATACTCTACTGGAAATTGGTTCTACATCCCTGTGGTCCACTACTTCTATTACAATATGGTTGTCATAGAATGGATAGTCTCCTCTGTCTAATAAGTCTAATAGGTACGGATGTATTATGTTCCTGTTAATGTAACTTAACAGCGTGTTTATTACATCTGTGTAGTTGTGTTTTATACCTTCTTTCTCTACTGGCCCTACTATCACATACTCTGGATATAAAGATACTGTACATACAGCAGGAACATCTCTGAACTTCTCAATTGGATTAAACCCATAAGAGAAGGATTTGAAGGTCTCCCACTTTCTCTTTTGAGCCGTATAATACTCAGCACACCTCCTCTTTAAATTTTGTGTCTGCGCATCTTTAAATTCATTCTTTGATATTTCTTTCGTTACTTCCTCCTCTAAGAATATTTCGAAAAAGTCGTCTGTCATACGACTATTAAATTAAACAGAAATTATTTTAAAGGATTTATTCATGAGACACACCTTTTATGAGAAATCTCTCTGGGCATGGTACGGACCACTAAGGCATCATTGAATGACCAACACTCATTCTCATCGCTCCAAATTATTTCAAATCCATCACCACAAATCGTGCATTTCTGGTCTCTATCACCCCTTACAGGAACAGTTGATACTTTTTCTTGAATTGTTGATTTTAAATTAACTGACACTTTTTGTTCTGTCTGCGTCCACTGCGTGGGTTCTAATAGCCAACTCTGCCACATGGAAATATCACTAGAATTTCGGGTTATGTGTGTTTTCTTCTGGTGAATCTCTGCATGCGCCGTGTACACTGAAAGAGAATCAAATCGCATGCCGCATACTTTACACTGAATAGCAGATGTATATAGTAATTTTATTGCCTGGTCTAAATGCGCTGTAACTAAATAGTCTCTGGTCAGATCTGGTAGTACTTCCTGCTCATTTTGTTTGCTGGTCCTTCCCTCTGTATAATAAATATATGATGCAGTATACGCTGGCCTGTCCACTAGCTTAAATAAAAAATATTCCGGTGGATATGGATAGAAAATTTCTGGCTTTTTCTGGGAAATTTTCGGTTCTTTCTGGGAAATTTTCGGTTCTTGTGCCACAGATATTTTTGAAGAATTCTCAATTTTTTGAATCTTTCTTTTCTTTTCAGGCTCCGCCATTTCACTTTCCGCTCGCTTCTGAGGCTCTTTCCCTTTAATAAAAGAATACGCCGGGTGCTGCCCAAGAAATTGTAGTAATGAATGCAGAGCTTCTTTATTTTCATTAGTAATACCAGATAGTTCTATATTTATTGCCTGTACAATTTCCTGTGCATACTGGTCATTGGTTTCTGCCACTGCCTGTAATGCTTTGACTGTATATTTATTCATGGAAGTACATCTGTGAATGAGTGAGGAATACTCCTGCTGTGCTTCCACCATGTAAATATTCTTGTCATAAAAATATTTGCAATTATTAGCTGGGCCGGCTGTAAATTTCTTGTACTGTAAATTTACGAATTATTTAGAAGGGAACTCATTTGACTTCTCCTTCGCCAGTGCCGTCATATCACTTGTTGATAAATATTCAATCATTTTTGTGTACGGGATGGTTTTTTTAACAGAATCATTAGGTTGCGTGGATATTCCCGTATCTTCTGATTTATCCAGTGGATCCCTAAACCCGTCTAATAATGACCGTTCTAAGAATGTGTACGGATCATTGTCGGAGTTATTTATTCTGGGAAGAGAACTTTTCTTAAGTAATTTACTTGAATAAACCTTCCCTTTCTTTAACAGACGTAATAATTCATGGCTCATTGCTTGTCTGCCACATGGCCTCTTCTTGCACACAATTGGTAGCTCATTTACTTGCCCATCGCCCGTATAAATATGTATTTTATTCTCAAAGAGAAATGCAGCCATTGTAAACGGAAGATTAGCTGACTTGCCAATCCAGTCAAACCCTATAAAGGAATAATTCGTGTTGAAATTGTATAACTTAACCATCTGATTGTCTGAGTCATAATAACTCTGGAAGTAAAAATGCCCTCTGTGATTGTATACTGCAGGATGCTTTCCAACTGAAAGTATCCCTTTATGTACTCCTGTGTCTTTTATGCCGTACAGAGTTGTTAAATTCCTCATATCAAATGATCCAAGGGCCTTCCCATTATTTACGTATATTTTACTCTCGGCCCCTTTCTCTACAGTATAATTAGGACTTAGTTCATCTGTGGTATAATGCCTTGCTATACTCCTGCACTGCCAAAATGTATTTGACGTTTTCTCTCGTAAATCAATTATACCAACTGTATCTATGTTCATTGCAATATACTGCTGAGGATGCCACGTATTTGATATTCTCTTATACTTTCTGGTACTGTCTTTACACTGCAAGATATAATTATCTATTTTACCTGTACACATATCTATTTTATCTAAATACATCTTCTTGTTGTTTATGGCTTTGGTAGACTCCATTTCCCTTAGAACAGGAATAAAAGATCCTCCCTTCTCAGGCACGGCCATGTCTAATGAATTCGGTAGAAGTATCCTGTGCTGGGTTAGTTCTGTACATTCTACTATGTCTAAATACTCACCAGTAAGAAATTCTGCTGTGTTCCTGTATAAAGATATTTTTATCGGCGAGTCTTCCTTGTATATAAAACCAACTGTATCTTCATTATCAGTCGTCCTCTCCTTTCTTATATAATACTTATGCCCATCTACACTGTACATTAAATAAGGAGCACCCTTGTCTAACGCACGGTTCATGGTAATTGTTGATCTGGGCCGTGATTTATTTGTTATTCCATGCATGTTATTCATTGATACAGTAGTTTTAGTGGGAAAGAAGTCCGCAAATTCCCACGACCGCCGAATTTCTTCAAATGCTAACCCACGCATAATCGACAGACAAGGAGTTGTTGGACTGTTTTCTACATCAGACGTCTTGAATTCTCTATAAACCCCAGAAACCTTCTTTATTTTTGACGCATTCTCATACGAGTCACCCGGCATTATCTCATCTATAAGCGACCGTTTCGTAGAAATAATTCTAATTTTGTCTTCCATAAATATTTTTACAGTAATAAAAGGTTATAAAAATAAGCACACACTGTAATACGTATTACTTGTTAATCAGTAAGATATATCCACAGAATGAGTCAAACACTAATTCTACTGCAGTGTATTATACTTGTTATTTATTCAGTACATTCCTATAATAGACTCATTCAAATACCTTACTTGTCCTCTCTGCTGTATTACGTATTATATTAGCCCAGTGCTTAGTAAGTCTTTTTATGTGTTTAATTATTCTCTCTTTACTTGCTCCTGTTATAACCCGCTTTACTTCTTCTGTTGTACTTAATAAATATGTCCAGTACCTCCAGTTTCTTTTTGGGTCTTTCTCATACAATACCAGAAGGACTTTTATTAAGAATGAGCTCCTTAATAACCCCGTCATCTTTGGAAGTATTTTTATTACAGGAATGAGGATTTCTTCTGTTTGTATAAGAGAAAAAAGGATTCTTTCTAAATCTGTCACTGCATTCTCTGGTGTGTACGAGTGAATTTCTATTTTCTGTGATAATTCTGGTGATGGAAATTCAATTCCCGATTTTTTATCATCTATCGCCATTTCTTTGATCTCTTCTTTGATGAGATCTTCTGGGTTTATGTATAAAGAGAACACATTTATTATTCCGCTCAGGAAATGGGTTTGAATCATTATTGGTAATTTTTCTAGGCCATTACAGTACTTCTGGTATAATTCTGTGTGCTTTATGTGGTTGATGGATTTTGCTGCTGTAAGAACACCTGCCAGATGCATAATATAATCTGTCTCATTCTCGCTTAGCCAATTTATGTAGTGGTTTATTAACTCTTCTCTTTTTCCTTTGGAATCTGAGGTTGCTTCTGATAGAGCCACTCGTATTTGTCGTTTTATATCATCATCTGGGTCATTTGATGCTTTAATCAATGCATCAATCACTCCCTTGTGCTGGTGACAGGATCGTAGAATTACCACGCACTGTCCTCGGATCACTCTGTTTTTATTTTCTAATTTATCAATTATCTTCTGTAGGATCTCTTCGTCTGATTTACAGCAGTTTATGTAGACCAGGGCATGCACCATGAAAAACATGCAGGCTTCTACCTCTGTTTCCTTTGAAAGTTCTAGAATTATTTTTTTTGTGAGCTGTTCTTCTTCTTTCTCTGTGTAAGATACTTTCTCTAATTCTCCAAATATATTCTGAATGTCTTTCTCTGTTAAATGATTCTTCTTGGGGAAGCCCATTTCTCTGTGGTTCATTTTAATCAGAAGAATCTCTAAAAGAAGATCTTTTTCTTTGTTGAAGTATGATGTTAAATAATCATATATTCTACTGTCCAGTGCTTGTGCTAGACAGACTATTAATTCGATTGTTCTAATATCTATTTCTTCAATCTCTGTGAGTAGCAGCTGTAATAGACAGTATAAAACACGTATGCTGCTAGTGTCTTTCTCTGAATTATCACTGCACAGATCTTTCATTGCTTCTTTGTCTATTTTTTCTCCAAAGAACCGTCCTGCATGTTTTCCGTATATTCTATTGACTAACACAACAATATTCCTTTCTATTTCCTGTCGTATTTCTACCAGGGTATATTTTGACTGTGTGTGGCCCTTTAATAATTTTGGGAATATTGTTGTTTCAAAGTCCTCGCCTCCGTACTTGTCCATATACGGAACTATCTGCTTATACACCCATATTGATAAGCACTCAAACCCAACTGTCAGCGCATAAAGCATTCTCTTCTTTAATTCAATCTCGTCCGGAACAAATCTCCAGCCGTGCATTAAACTAAGTGTGTCAGAAGGACTTATTCTTTCTACTGCTGCATCTTTTTGTAATAATGGCTCCCTTTGTCTGTCATCCTCAGACCCTTTGTTTGTATTTGCCATGAAATAAAAATCGGAAAAGTATTAATACGTGAAACTGCCGACTTCTTTATTCAAATATTCAAAGTATACGCCGGAGTGCATGTCTAATTGGCACGTAAAAATAGAAAACCAATGGAAGTATCGATAAAAAGACTATTCCAAAGAATGGGTAGAGGGTTTCATTCTTTTCCCCTGGCACTCTTACATTCATTCCCCATATACCAGACAGTAACTGGCACGGTGATAGAATTAGTGCAGTTAAGCTCATTCTTCGCATAGACTTGTTCATTTCATTCCCTTCCTGTGTCTGTGCTACATTCAGCAGTGCTAAGTACGTATCCTGCGCCCTCTCTAATACTCTGTGATTCTCCCCTAATTTCTTTGATAAATCTCTGAGATCTTCAATTGACTCAGAAAGATATTTCTGCACGAGTGGTACAATCCTCTTCCTACACCGATTCTTTATCGTTGTAAGTATTTCTATTTTGTACCGAGTGGTTATTTGAAGCGAATTCACTTGGCAACTCACTGTAAAATTCTTTTTTAGAAGGCTTGCCATGTCAGCCTCTTTAAATGTCTTTGACAGTGCTTGAATCTCTGATGTTGCTGCTGTGCACCCATCAGAAAGATATTTTATATCCTGTAAGAACTCAATTATAATTGAATACAAAACCCATGAGGGAGTAAGCGGTGTGTGTGCTGATAATAATTCTATAAAGTTAAACGTATCTTGTACACTAATCCATGGCTTGTCGTGAAATGTCAGTACAAAATCCTTGAACACTAAAATGTTAAAGTCGATGTCGTCATTCGTTGGATCTGCTTCAACCATTAGCTTCATTGATATAAAAGTGTAGTGCTTAAATACCTCTATCTTCTCATCTGTATTTCCTTCTTTTATGTCTAATAGAGTTAATTCGTGAATATCAAACATACTACAAAGTGTCTGTAAGTCAGAGTCTGTTGGATTGAACGTGTTCAGCCAAAAGAAGTTGGTTTTGTTTGTTTCTAAATAATTTGCTGTTATGTTCCCGAGCACTTGTGTTTGCACTAAGCCAGAACTCTTTGAATAGAATAAATATTTGTGACCAGATGGGTTAAGCGCGTGTAGGGGAGAAAAATTAAATGTCATTTGTGTTAAGTCTTCTCTTTCTTGACTTCTTATATTAGGAATACTTCTTATTGTCTCGGAGACGGACTCTGTTGTCTCATCTATCTCTCTCCCCTTTCTACTTTTGTATACATGTGGCATTTCCCTTCCTTTTTTCATTTTTCTGTATATGGTTATTATTTCTGCCAGAGCACTTCTGTGGTTTTCTCCGCTGTTCATAAGGAAAATTTTGCAGAGAGTTTTATGAAATCGTCTGTTTATTGGTCAGTTGGCGTATTGAAGGATATTGCCCCTTTTCTTATGTAAAACCTTCAGTTTTTCTGATTATAGGAGTATTTTCTGTATTTTTGTCCTTTCTTCTCTCTCAATCAGCCTATCAATGATAAAATTTTTAATGTTTTAAGTTATTTTATAGTAAAGGTAGAAACATATTTTATTAATTTTAATAGTACTTTATAGTAATTGTACCATAAATTATATAAATAAAAATAACTATAATTTATTACACTATGTGTTATTAATAATTTTTATTAGTGAATAATAGTAAAATTAATAAAATGCGATTACAGTAAAAGCATAAATAGAGAAAAGATAAAAAAAAAGAAGAAAAAAGAAGAGAAGACAGGTGATAAGAGGAACCAGATGATAAGAGGAGAGGAGAAGAGAAGAGAAGAAAAAAGAAGAGGAGAAGAGAAGACAGGTGATAAGAGGTGGATATGTGAAGAGATAATGACATCAGGTAGAGGGATGATAACATGGGATAGATGATAAGAGGAGGGAATAGATGAGGATAGCTGGTAGGGATAGGGAATGATGTGTTATAGGTATGGTTATGGATAATGGATGATAGGGGTATAATAAGAGTGGCATGTGTGTGGTGTGATAGGGGTATATGTGTAGTAATAGTAAGATAGAGTATGGTCAGTAAATATACCATACTATAGCATACAATACACACCATAACCACTCCTATTAGATATAACTTATTCCCCCTCTTCATATACTCCTTACTTATCCTTACCACACGCATACCTTATCCTATTCTATACATGTGTTATAAGTTATAGTAATATTTTATTTTTATTTTTAAAGTGTATTTATAATAACTGAAGACTTTTAAAATATTTATTATTAAAATGGATGAATTAATCTGTTATTAACTGAAATATTAAAATAACGTATAATACAGTAATATATACTAATTTATTTTAATTCACTGCTTACTTTAACAAAAACCCCACTAACTGCAAGTATACCGTAAGTTACTAGCAGAAATGCTGTGATTTTTCTCAATGTATGACTTCTTCCTGGGTATTTTCATAATACATACAGCGGGAATGAAATTGCACATAATTGTAGATGCAGTACCACCAACTACTGTTTGGATGGTTGTTAGAGATATTTTAGGTAAAGAAATTAGGGCGGCTGCCGTGATAAGTAGGCCAGTGCACCATACTCTGATTGAAAATGTATTTTTGTTACTTCTTGTGCTGACCCATTCTACTAGACAGTCTCTTGCTGGGTATATTTGCAAGGGGAGTGAGCAGGATATGAACAGAGTATAGAATATGTACACTGCATTTTTAATCTTCCCATCAGCAAATAACACAAATATATTATCTTGTGTTTTATCACCGTATGCCATATAAATTATAAACCCAAATACAACGTAAAGTATTAATGCAGTACCAATACCAAGCCCTGTGATGTATTTCATATTTTTACTACTGGGGTTTGTTAGAGAAGATCTAATACTGAATATATTCTGATGGCATGTAAATGAGAATATGAACTGCCCCACTGATCCTATCCATTTATATGAAGGATAATTAAAAAAAGGAGGATTTGGCATTAATTCAGGAGTATTATCTCTTATGAGCATATAATTATATATACTGCCTGCTATACATATATACACGCCAAATATACCTATCATAGAACTGTACCTAAGACTCTTTAAGTCTTTCATTGTACATATAGGAAACATAATCAGCACGTACAACAGAGTTATTTGTACTTTAGTTATATTCTGTAAGTATACTATTCCAGTCATTTTAAGGAGGTATATAAGCATGGGCTGTAACAGGACTAAATATGAGATACTCACACCAAAGCACTTAACAAATACAATTACATTGAACATCCCAGATATACCAGGCCATATCTTACTAAGAACAGCAGAGAATGTTTTATCCCGAGTATTTGCATAGTCTGCACACTCACACAGCATCATAAGACTAAAGAAAGTTAGAATAGCAGCAATACATGAAAATACAGTAGCAGTAATACTACCGTATGTACAGAAAAACATTGGGTAACTGATTATACCAGCACCCATTATGGTTTTTAAGAGGTTGAAGTATCCCGCGCATAGCTCAACTGTTTTCATATAAAATAATTTGTAAACTATTTTTAATGCTTTACAATTTTTTATACAGAATAATTGCATGGAGGATGGATTTGTTTCAGATGAAGAATTATTATACACAGAAGATATAAGCAAATTAATAAAACCAGTAAGGAAAGAGAAAAGAAGAGCCTGTGCTAATTGTACATGTGGTAAAAAAGAGATAGAGGCTGAAGAATTAAAAAACACCAGTAATAATATACCAGTTGAATCAAACTGTGGTAATTGTAATTTAGGTGATGCATTTAGATGTTCTTCTTGCCCATACACTGGATTACCTCCATTTAAAGCCAATTCAGAAGTAGAATTCAATCCAGATGAAGTATAAAATTAAATAATAAAAATGAATTAGACTAAAAATATATATGTAGTATAGATGTATAAATAAGTATAAATAAGTATATATAGTATATACATGTGTATATTATGTACTAGTAGTATATATAGTATATAGTAGTATATACATGTGTATATATATGTGTGTATGTGTGTATATTATGTACTAGTAGTATATGTATAATAAGAACTTCTATGTCATTCTTGTAGATTTACGCATAGAGCCATTTTAATAGATACCAGTTTATTGATATAAGGTTTGTGGGGTCTTAAATGAGTGGATATTAAGCACTGTACATTCGTCCCAGACACTTCCTATTTTAGACCATACCATTAAATTGTAGTGATTTGCTAGTGCCTGGTCTTGTTGCAAATATCAAGGCATTGGTATCGGATATTACGGACCTACTATAATCAATATCTAGATTATTTAGAATGTATAATAGTGCAAATACACCCCTGGGAATATTTGGTATAAATAAGATGTTATCTGATCCTTCCTTTTTCTGTACCCATGATGTTTTTATCATATCTTTAATTCTTCTTAATGATCTGCCTTGGGTTAGACAAATAACAATTGTATTAGTTGTTTATCCCCTTGCAATAATCAGCCCATTAAAATTTTTATTATTCTTGCCTTATATAGCTTCAATTTCATATATAACAGCTCTATAAGACTTTACAGGCATGAGGCTTCCACATTAGGCATGGTTTATTATATGATAGAAAACCACTGTGCTTTCTTCTGTTTAGATATATTTTCTGTTGTATGCTAAGAATAGTATTAGTTTAGCATGACATGAGTTATTGTAATGTTTACATAAACATGGCAGCACAGGTTAGATCAGAAATTATTGCTGTCACAACAAGTCAACATAAATTAAATTGATTATACCGACTGTAAATACATATACAGATTCAATAAAAGTCAAATTTTAAGAATGCTATTTTCTAAGAAAACAAATTTTTCTTCTATTAGCTTACCTATGCCACATAAATTATTATATATCTTTTCCATTTGTTTGTATGCCAGTATAAATTTAATAAGTGCAGAGTCTGCACGCTTAACTGACAGATATACAAGTATATCTGAAATAGGTTTTAGCTTCTCTGTAGAATCTTCTAGCATTTCATCAGTCTTCAATGATTTCGGGTCTAGAATAGAAGTTATATTAGGTCTTCCGTCAATATATGTCTCAAGAATAAAAGCTGCAATATAATGTACCAAATATTCTTGTTCATTATTGACCACAGAGATTTTCCTATATGCATTTGCTAGCAAATTCTTAATTAGCATCATTACAGGGTCAGTTCTCTTCAGATTCATTCTAAATGCTCTTGCTATTAGTAGAAAAGCTAAATCATATTGGTTTGGTATTCCCGCATATGGAACACAGTGCTTAATGCCAATAAGCTTATTTTTAGAGAACATTTCAAATTGCTCCTTACTTAACTCAAACATGTATTTGGCAATACCATTCTCATCTTCATTATTATATTTTTTATGCACGGATAAGTATTTCATATAGTCATTAAGCGCAATTCGCATAAAGGAGTCGTTCTCTCTGTTAGAAAGATCTGCGCTAAGCATATCAACCAACTCAGTGGTCTCTTTTTTAGCAAGATTGCAACTATTAGGATTATATAAGAAGTCATTTACTTCTAATATATTTTTTATGTCTCTAATCATAAGGCGCTTCTTCTTTTTAATGTCCGATTCTGAATTACTAGTAACCATAAAGAGCTTTTTGAATATCTCCTCTGCTTTAGACTGTATATCTGTTTTATCGCTAGTTTGTTCCTTTTTTGGCATATACAACCTCAATATATCATGCACTGCATTAACAAACAGTTTTGGTTCTGTTCTTTTTATTCTATTTAAATAATGGTATATGTAGGTCCGTATAAGGAATCCTGGGGTGTATATAAAATTTCCTGTGGCATACTCTTCATAGTTGGTTGGATCTTTAAATCCAGCAGCTTCTAATACAGGGCTGTTGTAGTACTTAAATAAAAAGTTAATTAATTCGCGTACATTTTGATTCTTCTTGTTTTCATTCCATGGTATGTCATTAATTTGAAAAATAGTATTTTCATTGTCTTCATTATACTTGTATAAAGTAATTTTTGGTTCGTCATTAATGTGTTCATGCTTAAGAGGCAACTTAAGACCTTCTGATAGAAGAAATAATGCAGCCATTAGCTTATAGTCTCCTTCAATGTATTCATCTTCGTCTTTTCCATTGATAGAGTTCATTGCAAACAAATGTGCCAAATCATCTTTTTTCGAGTTATATGACATCATACCATTAGAATCATATAGCCAAAGAAGAATCGCATGGTGTTCTTTAATATACTCTAGCACATTTCCTTCATATGGTAGAATAGGGTTCAGCATATCTTTCCCAGTATTGTATTTTGTACTGTCCCTATTGAGTTGGTTATGCATTTCTACCATTTTTTCCGGATGCCCCATTATTATGTTTGTATTCAAACATCTTAATATCATCATATGCCCACTCTTAGTATGCACATATGACATCATTAGATTCAAATTTCCATCTGGATGAATTTCCACATCACCTATTTCTGGACTACTTATTGTATAATTTTCTACAACAGATAACATATTGGATACCATCTCTATATTTGAAGAGTATATCTCCCTCAGAAAAAGCACTACCACAGCTAAAACTATAATATTGCTGTTTTTTAGTGTTTGTAACCTTCTTTTAACTGTGCATTCTTTTGCTTTTATTGTTGTTAATACTTCTTTTATATTTTGTGCTATTCTTGTAGTTGAATTCTTAGAATTATTCATTAGGAAATTTTAGCATTAATTAATTCTCAATTTCTATTTATAGACAACATGATTAAATTGATTTCTTTGATATGTGATGTCAAAAATTATTTTAATTTAGTCCATGCATCATTACATTTGCAATATTGTTCAAATAATAAGAATAATCCCATCTGAATATATTATAAAGTGTGGTGACACCACCACTCGGACGGGAGCCCCCGAGGGCGATCCGTCTGCGCGCCAGCTCGCGCGGTGATCCCGCCAAAGCAAAGGCCGGGATCTCTGAATCAGTATATCAACTTCCGACTATTTAACCGGAGCTCTTCCCCCAATTTAGGGGGAGACTCAGGGAAGCATCGACGGCTTAACTTCAGCGCCAGGCCTAACACAACTGCGCCCGGGACTCCATGTCCGCGCAGGCTTGGGCCGCTTCCTAAAGACAATAAAGAGCTCTCCCCTTTCACTCTCTTCTCTCTCTTGGCTACGTAGCAGGGCGGCGGTGGCGTTACTCCTCGTGAGTACGTCATAAAGAATAAATATCATTTATGCATAGGCATAATGGCACGACTTACAGATGATAAATGTGAAGTATCTGTATAACACACTACTAAGTTCTTGATATGGGCATGCTTATAAATGGTATTATTTAATTGGTTATTTATTGCTTTTATTCTTGGTGTGTTAGATCTGTACTTCTGGCTCAGGGATGGTTATTAAGTCGTCTAAAGTTTATAGATATTAAAACAATGAAGTATTTAAATTATTCATAATCTTCATTGTTTCATTAGAGTGTAACAATCTTATACTAAGAACAATCATCGAAATAATCATAAATATTACTATAATTAGCATATTTTTAGTATTCCAGAAACTTGTAGGGGATTCTTTATTCTGTGGAGATAATTTTTCATTAGACCGGTCTGGAGTAATAGAAAAAGTATGAATAGGTGGAGTGGATGTAGAGATGGTTTCTGTCTGGTTCTTATTATTTACATTTCCTAATTTATTAGCTTCTACTAACTGACTCTTAGGTTTATTTATAGGCTGTGTTAGTGTAGAGCGTATTTCTGGTAAAGTTACTACTTTAGAGTTAATCCCATTATTTTGTATTCTATTCGTGTTTTTTGGTTCTCTACTTACAATTTTGTAGTGCCATATGGACCAATAATACTTAAAATACCAGATTCTATTGATTTTAAATACTTTTGAATTACGTTATTCTTGAAGTCTTCAATATTAAAGTGTTTATGTGCTTTATATGATTATACACTTTTGATTCTCTAATTTCATTATCAATGCCCATTCTTTCTTTACTCATTAGTTCATTTAAGTATTCTTTAATTTTATCTATATTCTCATTTTATATGATTCAATATTTGATATACCATTACTTTCAGACATATCAAATACTGTTTTATATAAACCACTAATAGAATAATTTAAAGAATGCTCATTATCTTCAGCATAAATTGAATTATAAATTGAATCATTTAAAAACTTATTAAAATCAACATTATTCCATCTATATGTTCTTGCGAGTAAATATAATGAATAAATATCATCTTCAGTCAATCCTAAATTACTTATATTTGATTGTTCTATCCCATTCTCATCTGTTATTGTTAGATTATCGCCATGTTTTATTAATATATCTAGCACTCTCTGTAATCTAGAGCACTCTCCTGAGTCAGTTAACCCACATAGCTTAACCATGGCATCTTCTGAAGTTATTTTACCATTTAATTTTTGTATGCCGGCTTTCTTACACAGTATATTAATGGAAAGAATGAAGAAATCCCATTTAAATTTATATACTTGTGCCATAATCATATGATTATTCCCTACCAATCTATAAAATGCATGTTTTTGATCGTCACTCTCTAATTCTTCTGCCACATTCATAATTATATCTATAATTAAGTCTATATGTTTTATACAGTCATTCATTTTTGATACAATATAATCATCAGTATATTGCTTAAATTTAATTCTATTATACATTTGCTTATAAAGCATATTATATGCCAGAATACTTAGTGGTTCAGGTAAATCAGTGAATATTCTTCTTTCTCTGTTAATTTCTGTTATTATATTAAATAATTTATCGATATCTTTTGGTTCTACCTTTCCTTGTTTATCTTTGGATTCTCTTTGTAATTTTATTCTTAACTCATTCTCATCAATATGTCCTACCATGCATTTATAAATATTTTATGCTTATTTACTCTTTTAAAAAACGGACGAATTAAAGTATTTTATATTTCTCCTTTAAGTATTTTATACACAAGCAGTAATTATTATATAATAGTCATAATAAGTATACGTATATAATTTATTTTTATTACTGTGGTAATACTAAGTGGGCATGAGTTATGTAGGATAATCTGTTAGAGCACCCATATTAACAGTTATTTTATTAAAACAAAGGCAGAGGATAGGAATCACCAGACTAATTTTCGAGTATTTAAGCTGATTTATTTTCTAATTTAAGGAGCGAATCAAGGGAGTATTGACAGTATACTTTAGGAGTAAGTACAGTTCATGCCATATTCATAATAAATGGCCTTCTTTCAATATCTTAGACTACATAGTCTGAGCAGTAGCAGGATTTTTGTGAGTATGGTAGATTTGTTAAATATAAAGAAATAACGGATAATAAGATAGAATATTTATTTCTTCCTTTTTCGGGTTTCATCCTTTCTTATTGTGGCATAGTACAGCTCTAACAGGCTTGTTTTCTCACCAGGAATTCTTATGAGGTTAGATGTTTCTAATACAGTGAGTGGTTTAGAGTTTATTCTTGAACTTATTTCCAGCATAAATTGTCTGGGAGGAGGAGGAACAAAATACTTTCCCACTTTTGTTTGAATTGCCAGTTTAATATCTGCACCATTTGGAGTTGTTCTGCCTGCATGCTCTGCGTATAACATCGCATCTTCTAGGGCTTCAATAAAATATTTGTATGCTACTTCTAAGAACTGCAGGATCACTTTTGGTTCGCACTCTTCAATTCCAACAGATCTCAGAATTAATGAGATTATTTTAGCATCTCTTGGTGCTAAGCTGTCTGAAGAACCCATTATAAAATATTCTTTCTGTGAAAATATTTTATGTCTTTTAAAGAATTTGGGCTAAGCTCAGTTATATTAAAGGGGTTAGATGCCGGGGAGTTTAAAACACCAAAACTAGTACAAAGTAAGATTATTCCACTGGCACTAAAGAGAAAGAACATAGTCTGTTCAGCAAAAACTGGATCTGGCAAAACTCTGGCTTTTTTAGTGCCTATGCTTGAGAGATTATTGAAAGTAAAGTGGTCGCGTGCAGATGGTCTTGGTGCTGTGATTATTACACCCACTAGAGAATTAGCACTGCAGATATTTACTGTTCTACAGACACTTGGGCAGTTTACGCACTTAAGTGGAGGTCTGCTAATTGGAGGCAGAGATGTAGAGAGAGAGAAAGAAGCGGTTGGGGAGTTAAATGTAGTTGTATGCACACCAGGCAGATTATTAGATCATTTAGAGAGGGGATGGAATTTCAATGGGGATAATTTAGAGTGTTTAGTAATTGATGAGGCAGATAAGCTCATGGAAATGGGGATTCAAAGAGACAGTTGAAAGCATTCTAGAGTATATGTCAAAGAAAAGACAGACTCTCCTATTCTCAGCCACAGCAGATGCAATTGCACAGGCTAAAAGAGTCTGGGACATTGAAAACCCAGAATTCATTTCACTAAGTGAAAGCAAAGATGAAGAGCCATTAAACCTCATACAAACCGCGTACATAACCACACCAGCACAGAAATTCGATTTACTATATACAACTATCAAACAAAACCTCAGAAAAAGGATTATTGTATTTCTTACTACGTGCAAAGAAGTCACTTTCTACTATACTATTATTAAGAAAATGCGGGTGGGCATCAGTGCTTTATACTTAAATGGGAATATGTCCCAGAATAAAAGGGTTGAGACATATTATAAATTCAGTGAGAAAGAACCACAGATCCTCTTCTGCACAGATATTGCAGCAAGAGGACTTGATTTCACAAGTGTTGATATTGTTATACAATTAGATGCACCAGACTCAAAAGAGACGTACATTCACAGAGCAGGAAGAACCGCCAGAAATGGAGCAAAAGGAAAGAATATCCTAGCCATTACAAAACAAGAACTTCCTGTACTAACAAATTTAAAGGGAGTTGAAGGATTCCCACAGGAAGTTCTTCCATATAAAACAAATCATAAGAAATCAGTTGAGGAAAGAATTAAAAGCATAATAAAAGGTGTCCCTGTGATCTATCAATTAGCACAGAAATATGTCAAGACGTACAAGGGATCATTAAGGGTAACTAAAAAGGAGCACATCACAGACAAAGAGAGTGCACTTAAAGAATTAATTGAATACCTCGGTGTAAAAGAAGATGAGAATGTAAGTTGGTCAGAAGATGCACCAAGAAAACCAAAATCACAAAACAATTATACAAGATTTGATTAAAATAGAAATAAATTACTAATAAATGTAAGGCATAAATAATATTTTATTTTAGGATTTCTATATTTTAAGGAAATATTTTAGCTCCTACAGAATGCATTTAATAATGAACATACCCAATTTAGACTTATCTTCAGATAAAATATTTTAATTTCTCCGTTTTTTTAAACGCATAAATATGAAAAATATTTTATTTTTATGGGGGAATATATTGATGAAGAAATAAAAATAGAATTACAGAAAGAATTCAGTGATAAAAAAGGAAAAATACAAGATGGAGATATAGAAAAAATATATAAAATAGTGATGGGTATTAACAGAAAAACCCCAATATTTAAAGATTTACCAGAATCACTGACTAATTTGGCATATAATATATTTTATACACAAATATATAGTAGAAATATTGAATGTGTTTATAATGAAGATACTACTATATCAAAAATCAATAGCTCTATAACTCAAATATCTGAAATTATAGATATGATTAAAGAAGAAGCAGAGACATTAGACAGTAAAAGTAAAAAACAGGCATTTTATAAATTAATAAGGGATAATCATATGATTATAGCACAAGTATATAGGTATAGAAAGAATTTCTATGATTCTTCTATTAATATACTGTGTAAGAAAGCAGGCATATCAGAACTAGATGAAGAAATAACTTCAAAAGATGCCATAGTTAAAATACTTGAGTTAACTGAATCTGGAGAGTGTTCTAGATTACAGAGAGTATTAAATATACTAATGAAACATGACGATAATCTAACAACAACAGATAAGAATGGAGAAGAACAATCAAATATATGTGATTTAGAGCTAACTAATGATGATATTTATTCATTACATTTATTTGCAAGAACAAAAGATTCGGATTTTTTAATTTTACTCTTGACATTATAAATGATTTAATTTATAATTCAATTTATGTTCAAGATAAAGATAAAAAATTATATAGTTCTATTGGGTGGTTATATTATACAATATATACTATGTCTAATATGGTTAATGAATTTAGCTTAGATAAAGATAAGAACAAAGATACAATTAAGACATGCTTAAACCAACTGAAGAATATGGAAAATATTGTTGTTTGGCGTACTGAGCATGGTATATCAAGATTAAATCGTTATATAACCGAAACATTAAACCTTACAGATTTTAATATTGATAAATTTAGAACTAACTTACTTAAAGGGCATTTTAAATCAATAAAATCTGATGCTTATGATATTGTAGGTACACCTGTTCCTACAGACCAAGAAAATAGTGATGCTATAGGTACATATGGTGCTACAAACGAAGGAATGTGCACTAAAACTATAATAATTGTGGCAGTAATTATGATTATTATAGTGATTGTTCTTAGTATAATATTTGGGTTATATTTTAATGAAACAAACAAAATTATGAATATTTTTAATATTATGTAATGGCAAAAATAAATATTCTTTATGAGTACGTCAATATTATGTGTTATACATTATGTAAGGCATAAATAATATTTTATTTTAATAAAGGATGAATAGTTCACAATAAATAACTGGTTTTTTATTATTTTATAACTGATTTTTATTATTTTTATATTTTATATCTTATCTAATGTATCTATTAGTCTTATATCATATATAATATTATTACTATTATACTCTGCATTATCTATATTTAATAGAATATAGTACATATTATGCAATATATCCTCATATACTAAATTTATTTCTTTATTATAATTATCACCATAAATATCTTTAAATATCATCATAGACCTAATAGACATGCTCTCACCTATTATACATGATATGATAATTACTGTAAATATAGTAAAGTATAATAAATAACTAAAAATATTTTTATAATCAAATAAAAAAATAAAAAATAAAAATAAATTACCAGAGATAATAATGGAAACAATATTACTAATAAACATAGACTTAGTAATAATATAATATGTACTAAATCTATTATCTACTGTATTATAAGTATAATTATTAAATAGAATATGATTTAAAAGTATTATATCTATTTGATCATATCTAATGGGTTTAATTTGTGATGACTTATTACACATAGTGTTATTAGTATTATTTAGTGTACTATGTATATTATTTAGTATACTGTTAGTATTATTTAGTGTACTATGTGTATTATATAATGTGTTACTTATACTACTATGTGTATTATATAATGTGTTATGGTTATTACTTATACACCTATGTGTAATATTATTAGTAATACTTTTTTTATTATACGTGCATAAGACTTTCTGTACACTTACTTTTAATATTTGTATAATATACATGATGGATAAGCCGGGTATTTTATACACTTTTTTATACACATTATGTAATAAGTAATACACTAATTGACTGTCCCATGGCTTATAAGGATTTGTGACTAAATAGTTCCCGTATAAATATCCCGTATATAATGATACTAATAAATATATAAAAGTATTCCATGTAAGGCATATACACGAGAATATAGTACACTTTGTGTAATAAATAATAGTATATGCACTGAGCAAGTATAAACAAGACAAGATATAACTAATACAGCTAATATTAGTATACAGCTTAGAAGAGAATATATGAAGGTATGTGTTATAAATAATGGACAGTTTCATATTATAATACACATTGGTTATAAAGAAATGGTTATATATGGACAAGTATATCACAATGCATAGTATATAGAGTACTTTAATGCCTATCATAGAATAACTAATCATTAGTAATACGGTGGGCAATTTACTAATTGGCATACTGCATACTGAGAGTGTATACCCAGAAAGTATAAGATATATTACACATAGTGTATATAATAATGAGCGTATGGCAGTATTATATACACTATGTGTAAAAACAAATGATCTTTTTGTTGTATGCTGTGGGGTGTGCTGTGTGTTCATGCGTGTGCAAATATTTAAGTGTATTATAAGTGCAGGAGCATAATAAAGGAGAATCAGGGGGAGGAGTAAAATACCAAGGAGGATTATTTGCGTGTGCAGGATATTCTACACAGTGTGTTATAAGTAGTGCTGTGCCGTGTGTTATTACTGCCCTATGTGTAATAAATCATAGGATGGGCGGTACTTTATACACATAGTGTAATATATTTTAGTTACTGTAAAAATAATAAAAAGTGCAGCACTCTGTGTTCCCACGCGGTCTCCCATCGCAGTACTATCAAAGCTGTCACGCGCTTAACTTCAGAGATCGAACGGGTTCTGGTGTGTACGCAGGCATATGGCCGCACATGTATGTTTTCGGGTTATAGTAGTTATAACACAGTGTGTAACAAGTAGTAATATTTACTGGTAATGCAGTAGTAAGTAGTAATGTTTACTGGTAATGCAGTAGTAAGTAGTAATATTTACACATTGTATATTAAGTTATATATTGTTATGCATTGTACATAAAATATTAATTATTATACATTGTGTAGTAATTACTGTTAATATGTACATAAAATCTGAAGGTAGATCTAATTTAGGTAATCCTTTATTCGATTGCATTGTGCAGGGATTAAAATATTTCCTTAAATATAGAAATCCTAAAACTAGATATACTAATGAAACATGGCGATAATCCAACAATAACAGATAAGAATGGGATAGAATACTCAAATATAAGTAGATTAGGATTCATTTATGACGATATTTATTCATTATATTTACTTACAAGAGCATATAAGTGGAGTAATGCTGATTTTGTTTATTTCATAAAAGATTCAATTTATAATTCTATTTATGTTGAAGATAATGAACATTCTTTAAATCGTTATATTCATGATTTATATAATACAGTATATATGATGTCTATATGTCATCATTATATATCTGATATTAAATTATATAAAAATGAGAATATAGAAAAAATTAAAAAGTACTTAAATGAGCTAATGAGTGAAGAAAGACAAATATTCAATATTAATAATGAAATTAAAAAATCAAAACTATATTTCGGGTTATTCGGGGATTAATGGGTTTAATACTGATAATTTCAAGAATAATGTAATTAATAATTATTTAAGTCAATAGAATCAGATATTTTAGGCACTAATGGTCATAAAAACAATAATTATACACGTATAACTACATTACTAATTATTATAATATTTATGGTTGTTTCTATGATTATTCTTTGTATAATATTATTATATCCTAATGAAGCAAAGAAGATTATGAATAAATAAAATTATACATATACATATACTACTATTATACTAGTACTCTATAATATTAACTTGTTATACCCCACTAGGGGCAAAACAATCGGTATATGGAGCATCGGAGACATTTATGTTGTACTCACTACAATAAACTGGTTTCCATTAAAGAAGCATTTACTAACCATCTGGTTTATATCGGGTTATATCTTATATTAATAAACGGAATTTCTTCTAAAAATTAGTTAGATAAAATATATTTTATTAGTTATTTATGTTCTAATGCTTGTATAAATATCATTTAATGAAAGACATAAATAATATTTTATTTAAAATTGTGGTGACACCACCACTCAGACGGATCGCCCTCAGGGCTCACGTCTGCGCGCCAGCTCGTGTGGTGATCTTGCCAAAGCAAAGGCCGGGATCTCTGAATCAGTATATCAACTTCCGACTATTTAACCGGAGATCTTCCCCTAAAAATTGGAGGAAGACTCAGGGAAGCATCGACGGCTTAACTTCAGCGCTGGGTCTAACACAACTGCACCCGAGGCTCCGTGTCCGCGCAGGCTTGGGCCGCTTCCTAAAGGCAATAAAGAGCTCTCCCCTTTCACTCTCTTCTCTCTCTTGGCTACGTAGCAGGGCGGCGGTGTCGTTATTCCTTGTGAGTACGTTAAAAATAAATCATGTATAGTTCATTTTTAATACATTCAATTATTTCAAAAATATTATTACTATATGTGTATATAACAGCAGCAATACACATTATTAATAAAATAGTATATAATATAGAAGTAATGTATTCACCAATGCATCTATTTGACTGCTTTTTCTTATAAATAATATATAATAACAAGCATAACCCATAAAAAGTAGCTAATAAATATCCGTATACTATTATATTTGATATAATAGTATAATCTTCAACTAATCTTAAGATTAAAGAAACTGTCCATATAATAACTGAATAAATAGTATATCCAGATGCCATAGTGAATAAGCCTAAGAATATACTACTTATTATATGTTTGGCAATATTTTTAGATTTTCTAAGTATCCAATGTACTGGCTCTATTAATCCCATAACAATATAACTACCAGAAACAATCTGGAGTAGTGTATAAAGGAAATTGCCACTTAATACATATTCATGAAGTAATGGATGTATATTTGTGGGTATTAAATTACTTAATGCATGGGCTGATTTTTCTTCAATTATATGGAATGATTTAAGTGATATTAAGTATAATATAACCATTAATATACTACCAAGATAAACTAAATTATATGCATTAGAATATTTAGTAGGAGGTATGGCTAACCATTTTTTTTCAATTTCTTCATGGCTATCATCACCATTAATAACAAAAGTCCTTATGCAATTATGAATATTGCATTTATCATTTTTGTGTGATGCATTCTCGTTATTCGGGTATAGACCAATAAATATTACTTTTATATAATTGTATAAATAGATAAAATCTATCTCTATATTTTTAATTTCTAATTCAACCAGTTCTCCCATATGTAAATAACTTATAAAAATTTAATTATATTTATAAGTGAATAATTTTGATTAATTAATAAGTCTATTTTTAAAAGAATAGCAGTTTATTTATATATGGGACACTTAACTGAATGTTCTAATAGTGCCGTACATTCGCCCCTTATACTTTATTAGATTGTTTCTCAATGACAATGTCAATACAGAGTTATTATAGCACGGTATGGGCGGTACACATTATTGTATACTAAGATTAATATTAGTATCGTAATACATGAGTTATCTGAATGTTCACATAAACATAACAGTGCCAATTAAATCAGAAATAGTTGTTGGCACAACATATTAAACATAAATTAAATTGATCATACGATCTATAAATACGTATTCAAAATTCAATAAACATTAAAGTATCTTAATGACTTTCTCTAAGAAATCAACTCTCATAATACAGTCTATGTACATGTACTAGGTCCTAGTCACTGAATAGTTAAGTAACATATTCATTTATGTGGGGTTAAACAACTTCCCAAGACATAATAAATAATATTATACCATATTATACTACTATACTTATACACAATGTGCTATTAGTTACATATCTACTATTACTACTATTACTTATACAATACATATCTACTATTACTACTATTTATATACATGTATACTGCTTCTATTACTACTACTATAAATATTATATTATTAATTATATACTGTATACTACGTATAATATACTTATACTGTATAATCTATTTTTTTTATTTTACTTGCTTACTTTTATTTGTTCTGTTGGTATTATTATACTGTACTATTAAGATATTAAGATAAAATGTTATTAACTCTTATTGAGGGATATGCATATGAATGAATCTCTCACCCAGAGTAATATTTATGTACTTCATTGGAACGTAGTCAATTAGATAACTAATTTCTTATACTAATGAAGACTAACATAAGTTAGATTTACCCAAGAATAAAAAAATTAATTAATTTATAGTAATAAGAAAATATAAAGTAACTGTTTTTAAATTATATTGTTAAAAATAACTGTTTATTAAACGTAACAGTTATTTAACTTTAAAACACCAAAAAATATCACTAACTTTCATTTTAGTAAATTTAAACGTGTTCTTACTAATTGTATCATTAACACCTTTTTTGTTCTGTATTATCGTATATGCCATATCCATAAATATTTCTTCAATATTCTCTCCACTCTTTGCACTTGTCCCATACCAGGGAACCTTTAATTCCTCAGAAATTTCTTTTATTTTTTTAATTGTTGATATTTCAGTTGTCTCAAATTCCTTTCCTTTTAATAAATCCTTTTTGTTCCCCAAAAGGAAGACCGGTACATTCTCATTAACTTTCTCTTTTATCTCATTTATCCACTTACTAAGAGAAGCAAATGACCCTTCTGATGTTAAATCAAATGTTAAAAATATCCCATCTGATCCCCTATAATAACTCCTTGTTATTGAAAAGAACCTCTCCTGCCCTGCTGTGTCCCATATTTGTAATTCAATTTCTTTCCCATTAATATTTATATTCTTAGACCTAAAATCAATTCCTATGGTTGTAGAGAATGTCTTCTCAAATTTATCTTCAATAAATCTCTGAAGGATTGAAGTCTTCCCCACATTGCTCTCACCAATTATTAGCAGCTTTAGCTGTAAACATTCATTTTTCATTTTTTTTTATTGGAAATGTAAATTACTACTGCTTGTAAATGTAAAATAATTTCTAAGTGAAGGGTTTAGTAGGGTTTTGACAGTTTTACCGTTTTTAGCATCAATTATAAATATTTGCTGGTCAGATATTGAAAATATGTACCTCCCGGAATTTGAGAAGAAACATTCCTTAATCCTAGAATTAGATAATTTTCACAGAAGAGAATTCACTCTGTAAATTATCTAACCGTGTATGATATATTGTCCCTGTAACTGACCCTACCACTACTCTTTTCTGTAGAATATCCGTGGATACAGCTGAAAGTTCTTCAGGATATGATAGTTCTAATAGAATAGATCCATCCCGTACTCTCCCTATAATTAACGTATTCTTTGATATTGTAAAGTATCTTAAGTATCTGAAAACATTCCCAAACACAGAAGATTCTCCAATTAAGTGCTTTTTCCTGTAAATAAACTCTTTTTTAGCAATACTGTATAATGAAATTATTCCCTTCTCAAAATTAATGAATAAATACGTATTACATAATGTAGCATATATACTGGATACTTTATCAATCCCTAGATCTATCTCAGAGTGTATTATACCATTATTATCATATATAAGTATTTTATTACATGTACATATAATAATGTACAGCGTAGTGAATATAACTATAGATTCATTGTTTAATGCGTATGTACTCTCTGAAGGATTCTCATTATACTGTTTACTATTATCTGTATTAATTATTGGATATAAAATATTTGTTCTTTCCTTATTAAGAAATACGCCATACTCACCTAAATAAGAAGACGTACTTAAAATACTAAACCAAATAATTGTACTTCTATTGGTGATAATCCCATAATAAAAATGAGAATTCCTTTCTACCTTAAAAATATTACTAATACTACTTTCCTTTTTTGGTAATTTACAGTTAATAACCGTTAAATACTGATTCCTTTTTAAAGTATCAGAATTTTCATAATCAAATGAAATAACTGTCGTATTAATACGCCTACACTCCATATAAAAATAAAAAAAATATTTATTACACAATAAGTATTAAGTTATAAAAACATACATTATATACTACACATACTATAATAAGTATAAGTATTTATTACACAATAAGTATTAAGTTATAAAAACATACATTATATACTACACATACTATAATAAGTATAAGTATTTATTACACAATAAGTATTAAGTTATATACTACACAGTATATACTACACATACTATAATAAGTATAATATACTACACATACTACAATAAGTATTAATAATATATAACTTATTATATATTGTGCAGTATATAAATATTTTTTTAATAAATTATTTATTACACAATGACTAATAATAATACAGAATATAGTACACATACTGCACTAAATAATGTTAATACAGAATATAGTACATATACTACACTAAATAATATACTTACTAATAATGTAAGTAACGTATTATACGATAATAAATCTAATTCTATTAATTATACCGTTAATAGAACTGAATTTAACTGTATCCCTACTATTAGTCACAGAATTGACGGCAGGAGCACTAATGAAGAACGGGTTATAAATATTACCATGGGAAATGAATCATTATTAATAAGAAAATATTTAGAGACAAAATATAGTAAGCTATACTCAACAAGTATTATTATTTATAAGACAATAGACATAAAGAAATCATCACCAGATAAATCAAGACTTAATACACTATGTGTAAATTGTAATGATAAAAATATTCAAACTGAAATAGATAAAATTTTTAACAATTCAAAAATATTCCCTGATAAACTGTCATTACTTAATACACAATGTGTAATAAGTATTAAGCTAGATATAATTATAATATTAGATAAAGGCGGCTTGTTGGAAATTATCACAGAAGGCATTTTTAGGGCACTTGCAGATATAAATATACAATTAAAGTACAAGACAGAACTTATTACTAAATCAGTAATAAATTATGTACAATTTTATCCAGTAACTGTATCTTGTGCTGTACTGAAGGGAGAGGCAATTTATGACCCATCTGAAGAAGAATTATTAGAGGCAAGTGATCGTATGGTAATAACGTATAACAAGAACATAGAATATACAGATGTAATATACTGGATGTTTAGTGGGTCAATACCATATAATAACTTAAAGAGGATGATTTATGATACATTGTGTGTTAAATAATAAATAGTACACAATACATAATAAGTAATAAATAAATAATAAATATAATATATTACACAATACATAATAAGTAATAAATAAATAATAAGTTATAAGTTATAATATATTACATAATACATAATAAGTAATAAATAATAAGTAATAAGTAATAGCAAGTTATAAGTAAATAATATATTACACAATACATAATAAGTAATAGCAATTTATAGAAAACAGTTGTTAATACACATTGTATAATAAGTAATAAGTTATAGAAAGTAATAAGTTATAATATATTACACAATACATAATAAGTAATAAGTAATAGCAAGTTATAATGATATATTACATATTGCATAATAAGTAATAATGATATATTACATATTGTATAATCTGAAGGTAAGTCTAATTTAGGTAAGCCTTTATTTAATTGCATTGTGTAGGGTGTGGTGATACCACCACTCAGACGTGAGCTCAGAGGGCAATCCGTCTGCGCGCCATCTTGCGTGATGATCCCGCCAAAGCAAAGGTCTGGATCTCTGAATCAGTATATCAACTTCCGATTATTTAACTGGAGATCTTCCCCTAAAAATTAGGAGAACTTGGAGAAGCATCGACAGCTTAACTTCAGTGCCAGGCCTAACACAACTGCGCCGGGGACTTAGTGTTTGTGCTGGCTTAGGCCTCTTCCTAAAGATAATAAAAAACTCTCACAGTTCACTCTTTTCACTCTCTTGGCTACGTAGCAGGGTGGTGGCTTGACTCGTTGTATTACGTCACAGTGGTTAAAATATTTCCTTAAATATTATTATTAAACAGTATTATTTATAGAATTTATAATAATTTCTGGTAAAAATAAAAGTATAAATATTTATTTTTTAATGACCCCTGCAATGTCAAGGAGCATAATTGGCAAAAGGATAAATATTGAAAGTATTCCAAAGACATTTACAATCTTTGATATTGTTAATGCTCTGAAGGGTACAGGTGAAATGTAAGTTATGTGATTATAATTATTGGTTCGTGTTTCTGAACATGATGAAAATGTGAGTATGATATCTAACCTAAGTCTTGCAGTAAAAATATATATAAAAACCAGTCCGCCAGAGAGTACGACATGTACAGCAGCAGTTGAATACTCCTCTGAAGAATGTGCCAAGGCAGTTGCATCTTCTAATGTAACTATTCTAGGTCAGTCCTTTCCCGTGCAATGGGCAGCAAGTGAAACAAGAACACAGACACAGAAACCAAAGCCGTATGATAATGACTGTGAGCGTAAGATGTTCTTGGGAAACTTGCCTGGGGATGTGACCGAAGAAAACCTTTCTGGCCTTATTGATAAATTGCTTCCGGTGAGCGTGTGTGTTAAGAGTAGCGCAGATAATGACAGAAAGTACGCATTCTTGGAGTTTAAGAGTTCTTCTGATCGAAACATTGCACTGGGCCTAATTGAAAGAGTAAAACAGGAAGGTGCTCTGGGAGAGGAGGTGACTGCTTCCCCAGCATATCCCTACATTCATGGAAGGTCAAAGAAATGGAAAGTGAAGAAGAATTCCCATGATAAAAATGCATCTGTTAAGTCCGACCAGATTTAGTTGTGAGTAAATAAATGTATATTATATTACAACAGAAATTGCTTATTTAACCATTTATATATACTGTTATAATTTGTCCTTTATTTGTTTATGACTGTTTTATGTGCCAATTGGACATATTATGCATAATCCGTATAAGTTTAATAACCCAAATTATAGAATATTTTTTTAAATAAACAGTTACCTTATTAAGGCTAAAACGTTTATATACTAAAAAAATTAAATTAAATTAATGAATAATCCAGACACAAGCACACGCATAAGCACAAGCGATAGAAACAGTTCAAGAAATAATAGTGATAATTCAGAAGTAAGTAGACCAATACAGTCAGTTGAACAATCAGATAATACACAACAGAATGCCCATACGGAAAGTATATTCGGGTACACTGTTCCTACAGCAATTAGAAATGAATGCGAGGATATTAAACTTGAAGAGGACTTTAAAGTAGTTATGAAGATTGACCATGATGCAGTTTATACTGAGTTATGCAAGTATGCAAATGAGTTTAACAGTGCTCGTAAAAAAAAGCCATCTAAGAACAAACTAAAGAATGCGTATAAGAAAATACTGCGTAAGAACATAAAGTATGACGTATGCGGAATAAATGATGCAGCATATAAAAATCTAATTATAGAAATGACATCTCTATTATTAGACAACTGCATAGAGAATTGCACTTCTGAAAAAAAGACATTTATGGTGAAGATTAATAAAAACTATGGAAAGTCAGAAACTGATGAAGTTCAGAAGGAAATATTGGTATCTAATGAAACATTACTAGACCAGATGAAATTTGTATTACTGAGAGTTAACCAATGGTATACTTATATGTTATCACATCCGAATATTAAAAGACATGACTACTTTACATATGCATCAATGTTAATAAATGAAAGGATATTCACTAGCTCTAAGCTAAAAACAATGCTGAATGGTATTATGAAAACATTTGAAGCTCATGAAAGTGCATATCCTGAACTAAACCCAGAAGAAATTGATTTGTTTGAGAAGAGGGAAGATGGTATTACACATCTTGATTATGCACTTGCTTTACTAATGAAATACCGGTGGGAAATAGCTACTTATTATGATGAAGACAGAGCAGGGAAGAAAGACTTTATTCTTTCTGAGTATGAAGAGAATATATTACGAAAGTTATACATAGATAGAAAATTAGTCAGTAAAGTGCTTAATTCTATAAGAGAAATAACAAAAGATTATGAACAGTATGTTGATTACTCTTCACTCATATCAAATTATTCAGTTATAGACGAAAGAGTGCCTATAATTAAAGATCCATTAGCATTCAATTACAACTATAAGACAATTGATATTCATATGGGTAAAGGCTTAGAAAAATATGCTGGTCTGCCTTCTCCTGTAATCAGAGATTATATTATACGCCGAGTAGACCTCTATAAAAACCTTGTGTTTAATCTTTTGAGCCCAAAGGAAAATAAATCTAATACTGGAAGATTAATGAGGCTCTCTCGAAGTGCCTCTATAAAAAAGAGATTTACTCGTGCAGTAGTGGGAGTACTCGCAACCGGCGCTGGATTCTTTATAGCAAGTTCCCTTCATTATAGATACGGAAGAAACACTATAATAGAGAATTCAGAGAATGGTGGTAATACTGAGCCTACCAGCAGTAATAACTAGGGAGATGTGATGGACAATAAGTCTAACAGCCATTAGGCATACGCTTCTTGGGATTAATAAAAATTAATTGGACTTAAATTTTTTATGTATTTTAATAGAAAACAGTTTATTATTATGGTTTAAGAGGATTAATAAATTGGATGGTTGGTGTGTGCCACGCACTTATCTATTATACTTCTTATGCTGTTACTTATGTATCTAAGGCAGCCATAACAGGTTAATTATATTGACTGCTGCTACAACAAAGATACTTATATATGTGATGCAGGTACATAGAATCCAATTACTTACACGCATGGATGTTTGATTTAATGTGGTAATGGACATACAACCGATTTACTTCGTGATGCCAACATTTGCTAACCCTATGGATTTCTAGTGGTTTCTAGCCCATTCTTAGTGCCAGTTTGTGTGATTCGCAATTATCTTCTAAATTTAATTGTATTCTTTTTCTTGTAGTTATTTCATTCTTTGCACTTATTATGAGTATCATCTCCCCATCTTATGATATCAAGAATATGAACTGCTTGAGTCCCTATGCACTCTCAGTATGTGCTAATATTCTGGTCCTAGTGCATACTACTAGTAGACATATGCACACTCGTCGCATTATGTGATTAATAGTCTGTATATTAATCAGTTAGTTTTGTTTATATGTTTGTCTATACATAGTTATTACTTAATCATAGCATATACTATCCTTAGTATACAACATATACTACTCCATATTACTAGTAATCCCTATTTATACTTGAATATTTGATTGGACTTATAATAAATACTCTACATTTCATACTATTTATGAGTATACTATGCTTATCCATTATATAAATTGGATTTTTAATGATTCTCTCTGTTAATTATTCTTTCTTCTATGAGTTACTTTTAATATGGAATACTTTTAATTTTTAATTGTCATTATTTATATTATACTTATTACATAAAAGTGAACACTTTACAATAAATAATAAGAAAGGAATATAAAAATAATTTATTCTTTATACTCCTTTATAGTAATTATTTTTATCATTGAAGATGAGTACTACACATAAAGAACAAGAAAATATGAATGAAGGAGTATTACAGGGGTGTAGTATTATAGAGCAAGAACCAATATTATATAACAACAGATTGAAAAATTCACAAGTTAAATGTACTAGAGATGAATGCATTACTATTTTAGAGGGAGATAATTCATTTCAAATAAAAGAATGGTGGAGAAGTAATAGGGATCATATAGCAGTTGTAGCTGTAGTAATTTGTGTTTTAGTCTGTTTAATCATGTTTGCTGTTGTGGGTTGGAATATGAAGATCAGCAGTGATGAACCGGGAAGTGGTCATTTGGCTAGGACCCTGACCAGAAACAGGACCTTGGTCATGTCAGAGGCCAGCACAAGCATACATGAATAAGCGGATTTTTATTGTAAAATATGCGATTTTTGAGTAATAAAGGATGAACTATTTATTATATATGAAAGTGAAACTGACTTATAAGGCTCTTTGCCGTGCTCATAGAGAGGCACCGTCGCCGCCCGGATAACATAGTCCAAGATAGATAACGATATCCTTGAGAGATGCTCTTTATTATGGTTATTAGAATATTGGGATGTGCGCGGACGCAGAGTTCTTGAGGCGCTATTGGCGCTGAGCCTTTTAGTAAATGTTTCCTTTAATTTTTCCATTGTTTCTCCCATGTTTGTCTAGGCTTCTCCCATGTTTGTCTAGGCGTGTGCTACTTATATAGTCCAAAGTTGATCCATGATTCTTAGATCCCGGCATTTTGCTGAGGCGGGATCACCGCGCGTGTAGGCGGATCGGCCTCGGGCATGTGCGCTTAAGTGGTGGTGTTACCATAAGTATATATTATTATAGTAATGGTATTAGAAAATATAATTTATATTTTTATAATCCTTTCATTTTTATATTTAAATAGAATTATGTACATATTTTATTTTAATAGTAAATAGAAATAATTAGTAATAGATAAATATACTTAATAGTATAAACAGATAATGATAATAAAATATGTACAATAAATTACTTATAAATTATGTATAACTCAGACTATTTATTACGATATAATAATACTGCTATTTAATAAATAATATGTGTAAATTATAGTTTAATAGATCTGATGATGGCTCTTTTCTTTTGTGAATGTATTTGGTATGATAGTATAATAAATGAAGAGGATTTCTCTGAAAAGATTATATCAACCGGTTCATCGTACTCTGTTAAAACAGAATATTCTTTAATAAGAACGCCATCAACAGAATACAATGCGAGATTTCTTCTGTTAATAATCATTGCAAAGCATTTTATACTGTTAATTATACCATTGCACATGGATATAATGGGATATTCAGATATTTTCTGTTCTTTAACTACTTCCCAGTCACTGGTATTCTCATAGTCTTTCTTAAATATTTTTAGAATACCACTCTGTGTTACAGCGCCCATATAAGAGACAGAATCTTCTATTATAGAAACATCCCATATACAAGAGTCCATTTTAAATATATTCTCTATTTCCCACTTAATGCCACATACATCATCTTCCCACCTATTATATATAACAATTTCATTTGAGTACCCAACAGAAATTAAACTATTCTCGTGCCATATAACACTTTTTACATCACTCTCACTGTACTCAATAATCTCTTCAATCTCCCATTCACCATCAGAATTCATTAACCACACCCAAATACTTCCCTGTCTTGTACTAAATGCAAGTCTGCCGCACTCATTAAATGAAATACTTTTTATTTCACTCTCATCGCCTTCTAGCCTGTCAATTAAGTCTCCTGTCTGAGTATTTATTATATCACATACACCATTAAAATAACCCACTCCAATTAAATCCGAATCTTTCATAAACTCCCCTCTTCTGATAATATTATTCTCGTCAATATTTCCTATGCCCAAAATATCACCAGAATTATTCTCATGCACTGAATACTCTTCACATTTTGTATTTTTTGGTCTCCCATCACAGTACTTTTTTTCTTCATTATTTTCTTGTTTTTCATTAAATAGTGTTATTTTTAGTCTATTTCCTGTGTCAGTTCTTGTTTCTATTTTTTTCAGTATTCTTAAACTCACTAAGTCATACAGGAATAAAGTACTCTCCATGCACAAACACAAAACCTCTTTATTATGACAGAGTGACCAGCCTATTCCTCCGCTTACAACCTTCTCTACCACATTGCCAGAAATATAACCCATGCGTATATTTTGCATTTTTATTTTGTGTGGTGTTAATGCTAAGAGATACAGTAAGCTACGATGAAATTGAGAAAGAAATAGAAAAAATGCAATCATCAAATGCTAAGATAAGAGAAGAGAGTATCAACAGTTTATATAGAATATCCAAAGAAATTGGCGAAGGGTATACAGTACAGTATTTAATACCATTTGTAAAAACAATTCTGGATACAAATGAAGAGTCAAAGGCGCCTGTCATTACACAGCTGGAGAAAATATCAAAAGAGGTTCTTTTAGAGGTAAAACCACTGTATTGCCTATATAAAGAAATATTCTTAACGAGAGATAACAAAATAAGAGAAATAGCCACTAATTCTCTTATAAGCAATGTTTTACTAGGAAGAGAAAGTGAATTAAGCCAAGAGATATACGAAGCACAAGAATTTATATGCAGGCTAGGAGAGAGTAAATTTGTAATGCACAGAATATCTGCAATTTCTTTACTTAGTAGGTTCTTGCTAGATATTCCCAGGAGCAGTGAGCCTAAAAGGCTAAAAGGTCTTTTTGAAGCACTGTTAAAGGATGCTCTGCCTATTATTAGAAGAAAGTGTCTCTCATCAAGTGAAATAATGCTTTATTTATACAGCGAGCCAGAAATCAAGCAGATAGTAGAAACAGCCCTACAAGATGCAGACGATACAGTAAGAAGTTTCTTTATTCACCCCCTGCTTTTGCTGGATAAGACAGAGACAAATTCACATTTTAGCAAAGAAGTGTTTAAGATGGCATCGGTGGATAACAGCTGGAAAGTAAGAAGCAGCTCTACAAAGATTATTAAAGATGTAATAGTTTATGTGGATGATCCAGAAATCACCAGAAGATACAGCAGCACACCTTCCAGAAGTATAAACACACAATCTCAAGAGAGCCATAAAATTAGTGGATTTTCTGAACTGAATGACAGGCATACTCCAGCCACAGAAGAACCAATTGGGCAAATCTCTGAAGACAAACAGAATACACTGCTAGACTATATCGACAGGCTAGTGGATGACAGAGAGGATGAGGTAAGAAAGAGTATAATACAGAGAACACCCGAAATACTGTTAGAAGCACCAAAAACAAAAAACAAGATACTTTACATTATAGACAGAGCATCCTGCGACAAGTCACCAGATGTCCGTGAGATAGTCCCAAATATATTATCTATTATATCAGAAATAGTAACAAAAGAGGACATGGAATTATTTGTCTCTCCAATTATTAGAAGACTCCTCTCAGACGAAGACCATAATACAAAAATAGAGACTATCAGTAAGCTAAAGACACTCTATAAGAAGCTCGGTGCAGCAGCAATTACAGATGCACTGGCTCCAGTGATAAATGACTTAAAAAGTTCTAATTGGAGAACAAGAACTGCCGTGCTAAAAAGCATTTCTTCACTGAGCCGGCAGATGGATCAACAGTATTTCTATGAGTACCTTAAAGAGCCATTCTTTAAAATGTTCGTTGATTCAATCTGGCTGGTAAGAAAAGAGGCTGCATCTATACTCAGTGAAATAGCAATTAATTTTGGTGCTCCCTGGGTACACGGCGAGATGTTAAAGTCATTGGAATTTTTAAAGGAGAGTACGCACTATGCCCACAGAATATCTTATGCCACTGCACTGGGAAAGGTACTGCAAACACTGTGGCCACGTAAAGTACAGAAGTTGCTTGCTAAAAATCTGGTTGATCTGGCCACAGATGCAATCCCACAGGTACGCCTAACAGTGGCAAAAATGATCCGCTTGGGAATACTTGAAGAAAAAGAAAGTATTTTAAAAGAGCTGCAGAATGACAGTCACCCAGAGGTAGTAAATGCATCGCATATGTAATAGAATAAATATTCCATCTTTGTTTATGATCTGAGACTGTCCGTGTCGTATTTAATTATATTTATACAGTAATAATATGCAGTATAACCCGAATAAGTCATTATCACAGAGTGACTCAGAATAGAGCTTGGTTGAAATTTAATCTTTATTAAAGAGACTCAACTATGTTACCGGGAAGAGGAACAATTGTTGTATTGTAGTGCTTCTCGTATCTCTTGATCATTTCCATGTCATCTGATGAGACTAAGTTTATGGCTGTTCCTTTTCTACCGTATCTGCCTGCTCTACCAATTCTATGTATGTAATTCTCTATCTCTTTCTCATGGGGGACGTCAAAGTTTATTACCACACTAAGAGTTTGTACATCAACACCTCTTGCGAGCAGACCGGATGAAACAAGTGTTCTGCACTTTCCTTCTGCAAATCTCTTCATTACATCATTACGCACATCCTGTGGGAGTTCACTGTGGAATATTTCGCATTCAAATCCTCTCTCTATCATATTCTTCTGGATGTTAATGGCTCTTTCAACCTTATTACAGAATATAACTGACTGGGAAATTGATCCTCTATCATACAGATCACAGAGTACTTCAAACTTAGACATGTCAACGGTTGCACCTCTCTTGTCTCCTACATTGACGTAGTACTGTTTGATTCCTTTAAGTGTCTGGTCTTCATCCTTAAGCGAAATAATCACAGGCTCATTAAGTATCTGGGCAGTGATCTCCTGCTCCTCTTTACTCCATGTGGCAGAGAACAGGCCCACCTGTATCTGCTTGTTTGGTATTTTATTGTACAGCAGGTTAATGGACTCTAAGAATCCCTTTTTAAGCATTTCATCTGCCTCATCCAAAATGAACAACTTCACATGGTTTAAGTTCAACTGCTTCATCTCAATCAGATGCAGCAGTCTCCCTGGGGTACCTACAAGAATCTGTGGTCTTTTCTTTACCTTCTCAAGGGTTTCTGTGATTCTTACACCACCATACACGGCCTCAATGCATATGTTAGTAGATGATCCAAGATTCTGCAGGACAGAACATGTCTGAATGGCCAACTCTCTCGTGGTTTCCATAATAATTACTTGGAGTTCTTTCAACTTCTGGTCAACTGACTGTAATGAAGCAATTCCAAAGGCAGCTGTCTTCCCTGTACCACTCTGTGCCTGTGCTCTTAAGTCCCGGCCCTTCAGTAAAGGAACAATGGCAGTCATCTGAATGGGTGAAGGTTTCTCAAACCCAAGAGAGAATATCCCCTTAAGAATATCTTCACTAAGACCCATACTATCAAATGTCTCTGCTAAGTCTGCCTCTCCTCCCTTTTCATCCACTACAAGTACTCCGGCTATAAGACTGGAATTAGTCGTCTGCTCATCTGGTATCTCAAGTACTTCATCCATATTTATTTCTTCCTCATCCTGGTCATTTACACTTTGTGCATTCTGGGTGTTTTCTTGCTCCACTCTTTCCCCCTTCCCTTCAGAGTTATGTGTGGGTTCCCTTTCACTTTCTTCTTGTTTTTGTTTTGCTATCTCTGTAGATAGGTTTGTCTGCTCAGTGGCAAACATATTTTGCTGTCTTTTCTTTTGTTCTGTCATAAACTTACATGGGCAAATTTTTTCTATTTAAATAGATACACTCCCTTTCCTATTCTAACGGATTTATTAGTTATAACAGAAATATACAAGAACATATACATATAATAAGATACACCACATAATAAATAATCTATTACTTAGTATACTATGCATATAATATAATATTATTATACTATATATAATATATACTATTACTACTACTTATGTAATACTATGCTTATTATATAATATTAGTATATTACTATAATAATAGTATACTACTAATGCATATGCTATACCACTATGCTTATGTATACTACTATGCTTATTATACTACTATTACTATACTATTAGACCACTACTATACTATGCTTATTATACTACTACTTATGTATACTACTATTAGTATACTATTATACGACTGCCTATATATACTATTATACTACTATGCATATATTATTATACGACTGCCTATGTATACTATATACTATGCATATACTACTATGCTACTACTACTATATAATATATACTGTACTGTTACTTATGTAATACTACTACTACTTATGTATACTAATATTAGTATACTATTATACCACTGCTTATATATACCTATTACTATACTATATATACTATACTATTATACTATGCTTATTATACTACTATTAGACTACTTATATACTACTACTTATGTATACTATATATACTATGCTTATTATACTACTGCTTATGTATACCCATTACTGTACTACTACCTATTAGTATACTGCTACTACTACTTATATATACTATACTACTACTACCTATTAGTATACTGCTACTACTTATGTATACCCATTGCTGTACTAATAGGTATTATTTACCGTAATGAGTCATAAAAAAATGAAGGATCGTACGTATTCCTGTGCTCATACGGAATTTTCTCAATATCCTTCTGTAATTCCTTATTATTACTTATAAAATCATACTCTTCATCTGGTATAATTATCCCTTTAGTTAATGACTTCTGATTACTCTCTTTACAACTTGTACTGCACTCATTTCTCATATTAAATAGTCTCTTCGCATGGTCCTTATTCCTTACTTCATGCCTTGGGTTTATAATAACCCTATCACCAGTAGTAATAGATACCCAGTCATTACCCTCCTTTACACACTGGATATTCTCTATTTTAAACACAATATACTCATATACTTGCTCACTTACTTGTATTTTAACAGGGGATACTCTGTTCTCAGAACCAAATGATCGTGCTTTACATAATGTGACTGTATTCCTATTACTGTCATAATTTGATAATATTCCTGAGTACCTCACCCCAGACTTAGAAATAATTTCCATAACACGCCCAGTCCTCTTAATTACTTCAAACATAAAATATTTGTAAACATGTCACAGAATATACGAGAATTATCCAATGGGAGTATAATAAATACACAGGAGATAGTTCAGTCTATAATTCACATGAAGAGTACCAAGAATATTCCATTATTTATAGGTCACAGGGGAATGGGCATAAATCATGCACAGGGAGAGAATACAATAGGATCCATTAATACGTGTGGTACGTTTATGAGTATGGCAGAGATAGATGTACAATTAAGTAAGGACATGAAAGTATTTGTATACCATGATTTAGTACTTAATGGTATAAGTATAGACTGTATACACTCAGATATACTTATATCCTTAGGGATACCATTATTATCAGATGTATTATTAAGTACAACAGTAGATTTAAACATAGAGATTAAATATGAAGAACAATCGATACCTGTGGATGTATGGTGTAAATATATTACACAATGTGTAAAAAGTAATAGCAGAGACCGGTTCATTATTTATAGTTCATTTAACAAAAAGATTTGCGAAGAAATCAAAAAGACGCAGGATATATTATACTTAGTGGAAGAATTAACAGAACATTCTGTACAATATGTAATAAGTAATGATTATACCGGGATAGTCACAGAAGCAGATGAAGTACTTAATAATACTGTATTACTAAGCAAGATTAAGCAGACCAATTTATTAGTTATAACGTACGGTAAAGGCAACTCAGATTATAACAAGATAGATAAGCAGATAGAAATGGGTGTAAACGGGATTATAACGGATATAATAGAAGACGTATACAAGAAATATATTAAAATACCATAATATATTACACATAGTGTAAAATATACTAGTTAATACACATAGTACAATAAATTGTGTGTATATGATTAGTTAATACACATAGTACAATAAATTGTGTATAAAATAAGTTACTTATTAAAATATAAAACAATTTATTATTACCATAATATATTACACATAGTGTAAAATATACTAGTTAATACACATAGTACAATAAATTGTGTATAAAATAAGTTACTTATTAAAATATAAAACAGTTTATTATTACCATAATATATTACACATAGTGTAAAATATACTACTTATTACACATAGTACAATAAATTGTGTGTATATGATTAGTTATTAGTTATTGTGTAATATATTGTGTGTATATGATTAGTTATTACATATAGTATAAAATATACTACTTAATGCTTATTGTGTAATATATTTTGGGTTATAAATAATTTATTGTTTATTTATTAGTCATTATATAAAATATACTACTTATTACACATTACACATTACTTATTACACATAGTATAATAAATTATGTATATAAAATACATTACTTGTTACGTATAGTGCATTATATTATAATTATTTATTATACATTACATATTGCATATTATTTATTACACATAGTATAAAATATACTACTTATTATTTATTGTGTAATATATTATGCAATTTATTACTTATTGTGTAAATTCTTTTTGCTTCTCTTATAATTTTATTAATTTTATTTCTTTCTTTTTTTATTTTTTCTGTGCTCCCTTTTATTTCTATTCCTGGTTTATTGCCATGATTTATTACCCTATGCGTATAAAATACTTTATTTATAATACAATGACTAATAAATTCAGGAATTATTACACATTCTTCATTAAGTAGTGTATACTTTTCTGTTAAATATTTTTTTTTGTCTTCTTCTACTCTCATACACTTTTATTATTACTACTATTATAATATAATTTATAAATAATAGTACTTTAAATATAACAGAAGTATCACTCTCTTTGAATATCTTATTTATATTCTTATTTATATTTTTATATTTTTATTTTTATAATAAAATATTTTTTTGTAAATTTTATTCGTATTCTCTGCTATTGTAGACCATTTATACATTAAATGGACTCTTTTATGGGAAATGTCCTTGTTGTACTGGTTAATTATGGGTAAAGCATGAATTATCCCATTTAAAATGCCTTGTTTTGATGGGGTTACTAGTGTAATCATGTCCTTAGGGAGTACTTCAGATATTCCATCTACATTTGTACTTACAACGTATAAGCCACAGGCAGCTGCCTCTATTATAGATATACAGAATGCATCAGTTAGTGACGTATTTAAGAATAAGTTTGACTGGTTTAGTACTAAATTTATGACTGATGGGTGGATACCACCTAGAAACTTAACTTTATCTTTTAATTTGTACTTCTCCACGGTTTGTTCCAGTAATTCTTTCTTTTCACCGTCTCCTGCTATAATTAGTCTAATGAGTGGGTTGATCTTGAAGATACTTGGCAGGATATCTGAGAGGAGGACGGATCCTTTCCTTGTGGTTAGTCTGCTTACAACAGCAATAATTATTTCATTGTTTGTCCAGCCATTTGATTGTCTTATGTTTAATACTCGGGTTATGCCAGGATTGGTTTGAATTAGCTGTGTGTTAGTTATGGTTTTGGGCTTAAACTCTTCTGTTACTGCATTCGGGATGACTGTGATTCTATCTGGGTGTATGGATAGTCTGTCGGCTGTATTATATTTAGTGGCACCGGATACACAAATTATACCATCACTGGGCCTTATGCACAGTTGAAACATTGGCTGTGTAACTATTCCACCGAGTGATTCTACTGTAACTAATGAATGATTAGTAAAGCATGTGGGTATACCAAGAATTCTACTGTGAAGGATTCCTTCAATAGGAAGAGTACTGCACTGATGACCGTGCACTAAATCAATCTGTTCGTATAGGAGTATCTGAACAATTGGTATCGTACTGCATATGATTGTTGGGAAGATTGAACCACTGAATAATGAGAACAAGTTAAGATAGTACGTCTTAAACCCATCTACATAGCATATATTATTACCACCTGATGATGAATTAGTTATAATAATAATTGTATGGCCTAATTTAGACAGTTCTTTGCTTAGGTTTAGTATGTGATTCTCTACACCACCAAGACGAGGAGCAAAGAAATCGCTGATCATCGCAATCTTCATAAAAAACAAAAAATAGTTTATTAAATATAATAAATATTATTAGAACAAATTTAGTAATTATAAGTATATGTGTATTATATTACATTACTTATAATACTAACCATAATAATAAAAAGTATAAATTTAATTATAACTTATTGCTACATCTACTATAAATTATAGTACGAAATTCAGTATAATTCCACTTTTAAAATAAATTTAATTTTACTCCTATGCATAATAAGTTATAATTAAATTTATACTAATACTTTTAATACTATGCAGAATTAATTCTATTATTTTTTAGTTATTGTGCTATATATTGTATAGAGTGATCATAATTCGTATAATGTAAGTATATTATCTGTTTGTCTGCTTTTAATATACTTAATATTTGTGGTGGTATTGTTTATTTGTATATGGAAGTGGAGAGGTTAAAGAATGGAATATTCAAGACAACAGAAATCAAAGAACAGCACAGTTACACACATAAAAAGAGAAGAAGCACAGTAAAATTAGACGCCTTTATAATATTCCTGGTATCATTCCTTATTCGATCAATTAGGATAGAAAAAGCACCGTTTGTTATATGGGATGAAGCACATTTCGGTAAGTTCGCTAATTATTACTTAAACAGACAGTTCTTCTTTGACGTACACCCACCACTTGGTAAATTACTCACTGCACTCAGTGCATGGATCATGAACATAAACAAATCCTTCATTTTCGCAAGTGAGGACGTATACCCAGAAAGTGTAGATTATGTGGGTATGCGTATATTCCACTGCTTATTCGGATCAGCAGTCCCAGTGTGTGGATATATCATACTAAGAACACTCCTCATAAAAAGAGAAATAGCCGCATGCATCTCAGTCGGACTCATATTCGAGAATGCACTCGTGTGTACATCCAGATATATCTTATTAGACCCATTCTTACTCCTTTTCATATGCTTATCAGAAGTATTCCTGGCCAGACTCCTCATGCATAATAATAGGCTGGAATATATAAGTACAGATTTAGTCTGCCTGGGTATATCAATAGGATGTGCAATGAGTGTTAAATGGGTCGGGTTATTAACTGTAACCCACGTGGGCATATACGCCATATACATTCTACTACAGGACATATACAATAAAAGGGTTAAAGTACTCCTTATGTTCATAAGACTAGCAATTACACTTATCCTGGTACCAGTCACAGTGTACATGCTCTGCTTCTACATACACTTCAGTATACTGAATAAATCAGGACCAGGTGATGGTGAGATGAGCAGCAGGTTTCAGTTGTACTTATACAATAATGAAGTATTAAATAACGATAAGGTTGCCATGTACGGTAATAAAGTGACCATCCGTAATTATAAATTAGGCACCGGGTTATTACACTCACACATGAACAGGTACCCATCAGGTGGTCAGCAAGTGACCGTATACCCACATAAGGATAATAATAATATTTGGAGGATCTTAAAGGTGGGTGATAATGCAGAGAATGTTCATCCGTATGAAGATTTAGTATTCCACCATCCAGAGACTGACACGTACTTATCGGTGACTGATACTGACCACAGGACAATTCGGGATACTGAAATTATCCCTGGTGAGTATAACGTACTTGGGGCCAGTAAGAAAGTTATTTCCATGGCACAGGATGAGATGAACAATAGTATTTTATCGAATACTGTGTTTAAAATTGAGCCAATTAATACAGATACGGTAGAACCGTTAAATACGTTTTTTTATGTAAAAAATATTCAGTATAACTGTTATTTGTCCTATTCGGGAAATAAATTACCCAAATGGGGTTATCAACAAGGAGAAATAATTTGCACACCTGAAATAAAAAATGGATCTGTGTGGAATATTGAACTAAACCAGTCAGATACAACGGAAAAGTCAAATATTCCACCAAAGCAGATGAATATTATTGACTTTATAAGGAGCACAGTGGAATTGAACCTTTCCATGAACACTGCCAATAATGACTTAACAGATGATGGCAGTGACACAATGGGGACACTTCCAATCCAATGGTTATTCCCTAAGAAATGGCTTAAATTCAACAGGTGGGATGGGGTTGTGCCTAGGTTTGCCATGCTTGGTAATGTGGTTACGTGGTATACGGGGGTATTCAGTATATTTAGTGTTTTAGTCTATTTTATATACGGAATAAAAAAGACTCGAAAATCGGTTAGTAAGTATAATACAAAGAGGATGGGTCGGGTGTACATCTTACTTGGTGGGTGGTTATTCCATTATGTTCCATTCTTATTTGTTAAGAGGATTCTGTACTTACACCATTACTTACCTTGTTTATTCTTTAGTATACTCTCAATTGGGACGTTATTTGAAGGGAGGCCGTTTATTGCGTATGCTTATACTGGGTGTGTTATATCTTGTTTCTTGTACTTTTCATCGATAACGTATGGTTATACAGGGGAGATTGAGGACATGCCTGGGTATGAGTTATTACGTGAGAAATGGAATATTTACAAGGGGTAAGCTTATACGGATAATAATACTCTGAGACTTGAATTTATAGCACATTGTGTAAAATAATTCATAATTTTATAGTAAATGTAGAATATATTTTGAATTTTAAGCGTGCAGTATATTTTATCTTATGTGTAATATATTTTATCTTATGTGTAATATATTCTGTATGTATTTTTATTATTATTTATAATGCATTGTGTAATATATTCAAGTATTTTATAAAAAGTACACTTTTATAATTTACTTATTACACAATGTGCAATATATAAAAAACCACAGTAAAATTTTTCAATATAATAAAAATAAAATTGTAATAAATATCCCAGAAATAACCGAATACCCCGAATTTCCATACCTCCACTAAAGTAATCCCAAACTGTTGCACATTCCGGGTTATCTCAAATAATTCGGGTTATACACACATTATTTTATACACAATATGTAATAAATAATACTAACATCTCTTATTATATACACAAATACGTAATAAACTGCCATAATAACACTAATAATATATCATATACAATAATAATCAGTATAATAACCCGAATAACCCGATATAACCCGATTATTCCAATACGCCCACACAGCACACTCCAATTTTATCTGAATTTAATCATCCACAATAAAAAGCTTTTAATTTATGGCAAGCACAGAAGAGACAAAACATAAACAAGAGAAAGAAAAGCCACAAGAACCCGTAAAAGTACAGCAAATTAAAAGGACCCGATTAGAATATAAATTACCACAGCCAGGAGAAATAATTGGTGGTTATATTTTAAGCGAGAAGATTGGGCAGGGCAGTTTTGGGATCGTATTTGAGGGGCATGCCATACACAGCACAAAGAAAGTGGCAATAAAAATAGAAACGGTCTCAGATATAAAGCACTCTCAATTAGAGAACGAGTACATATTATATAAGAAACTCAGTGGTGTAGAAGGGTTCCCACAGATTGAGTCATTTGGTCAGTCTGAGTTATACAAGCACTTAGTCATGGAGTATTTAGGGATGAGCATTGAGGATATGCTAGCCATAAGGAACAGGATGTTCTGTGCTAAGACTATATTTATTATAACCAAAAGGATGATTAAGTTAATAAGGCACTTACACGAGATAGGGTATGTGCACAGGGACTTAAAACCAGACAATTTCTTGATAGGGAGGGATCCAAAGAAGATATACTTAATAGATTTAGGGATGGCAAAGAATTTCATAACGCATGGTCAGCATATTGCAACCAATAATGGCAAGAAATTAACAGGGACACCCAGATATGCGTCAGTTAATGCGCATGAAGGTAATGAATTAAGCCGTAAGGATGATTTAGAGTCAATTGGGTATATTATACTGTACTTATGCAAGGGCAAGTTACCGTGGCAGGGTTTGAAAGAGTCTAAAAAGGAGAAGTGCCGGATAATTGGTGAAATGAAGAAGAATATTTGTTTAGAGGAAGTGACCCGGGATGTCCCAGGAGGTGCACAGATAATTGAATATTTCAACTATCTGAGCACACTTACGTTTGATACGTTACCTGATTATGACTATCTTATGAGCATATTTGATGAGGCATTAAGTGAGCACGGGTTACTGGATGATGGCATATTTGAATGGGAGCATGTCTTTAAAGGGTACACAGAAGATGTATCTGATGATAGTTTAGAAGATGGAATAATAAAAAGGAAGAGTATATGGAGAAGAGTCCGTAAATTATTCTGTTGTGGATATTAATACAGTAACAGATAAGGATAAGTAAGGATAAGTAAGGATAAATAGGTATACAGTATATGTATAGTACTAGTAGGGTATTAGTATAGTACTAGTATACAGTGTATGTACTATTAGTATAAGTAGGGTATAAGTAGGGTATAAGTATACATAGTATATGAGTGTATGTATAGTATTAGTAGTATATGAGTGTATGTACTATGGTATATGTATATGTATATGTATAGTACTATGGTATATAATAAGTATATAGATGTGTGTACTACTAATAAGTATACTGTACTATTACTATACAAGTATACTGTACTATTACTATACAAGTATACTGTATGTATTAGTCTGGCTGTATAAGTATACTGTATATAGTATAAGTAGGATATGTACTATTAGTATACTGTATATATATGTATATTAGTACTACTAGTATATAAGTATAGTATAATAAGTACTAATAATGGTATACTGTATATTAGTATACTATTAGTCTTACTGTGTATGTGTACTACTAGTATACAAGTATACTATATTAGTCTGGCTGTATATTAGTATACTATTAGTCTTACTGTGTATGTGTACTATTAGTATACGTCTGTTAGTGTATAATATATCTTGTTGCTCTATTATAATAAATAATAAATAATTTAGGGTTATATCGGGTTATGCTGTTTATTACTTCCAGTGTATGTGAATGTGCTCCTTCTTGTCTTTTATAAGTAATGTATGCGCACCGAAGTAGTCACGCATTGCTTGTACCATATTACCAGATGAATTATTCGTTCTTAAACCGTCATAATAACTTAGTACAGAAATTAAACACGGAATGTGTACGCCCTGATTTATGCAGTACTTAATCATACGGCGTAGCACAGGGACACCTTCACCAGATATCTTTATGAACTCAGGTGAGTCAAATAGTAAATTACTACAGGACATATTAGAAAGGGTCTTTAAGAAGTCACTCCTTATAATGCACCCATTACCCCAAATACGGCATAATTTATCCAGTGAAATATTCCAGTTATGCTCATCTGAGATGGTTTTAATAAGGTTAAACCCCTGTACATAAGAAATGGCTCTGCACAGGATGAATGCCTTCCTTATATCATCATATGATAAGTCAGTTATACTATCAGGCACTGTACATGACGGTAGAATACTTGATAAGTGTACACGGTCACTCTTCTTACTTGATAATATCCTGGCATTAACTGCTTCAATTATAACGGGAGTTGGAGTGTTCTTATTAAGTGCCTCTAATGCAGTCCATTTACCAGTCCCTTTTTGTTCTGATATGTCTATGATTAAGTCTATTACGTGCTGGTTATCTTGTTGTTTTAATAAGATATCTATGATTGCATCGATTAAGAACCCGTTCGTGCCTGAATTACGCCACTCTTGGAATATTTCGGATATTTCCGGTGGGGACAGGTTTACCCTGTGCATCTGATAGAAATCAGCAAGTACTTGCATCTCTGCATACTCAATCCCATTATGAACGGTTTTAACAAGGTGACCACTCCCAGAACTGCCGATCCATTCACAGCAAGGCAGTCCATCCGTCTTTGCGGATATGCTCTGCAGTATACCTGAAATGAATGGCCATGCAGTATCATTACCACCCGGCATGATTGATGGACCGTACCGAGCACCTTCTTCACCACCGGATATACCGCACCCTACGAATAAGTACTTACCCAGTGATAGTGTATACCTACGCACTGTATCGTGATAATTGGAGTTACCCCCATCTATGATTATATCCTCAGGTGTAAGTAACCCTTCTAATGCAGTTAGTACGTCATCTACAGCACTGCCTGCTTTAATCATTAATAAAATGACTCTGTGTGGCTTTAAGCTGTTCACTAGCTCAGGGAGTGTACTGCACCCGATCGCATTCGGGTTATTCAGTTTATTAATGAAAGTAGTCGTCTTCTCTGTTGTTCTGTTATAAATACTTACCGTATGCCCATTACTAAGCATATTTTCAATGAGGTTCTCTCCCATGACACCCAGTCCCACTACGCCAATGTCCATGTAAGCACAAATATTTTCATATTTTATACGGATGAAGAAGGCCCGTGCAGAGAGGGATGCCTTATTTGAGTTTGATGCACCGCAAATGAAAGACTTTATGAAGAAAGAGTACCAGACACAGAAGAGGGTTATAGAGAACTTATTAGAAACACGAGGTAACCCGGGTGTACCACAGGATCCTTCAAAGGAGGTCAAGAAGAAGTCAGTGAAAGTATTAAAACCAGCACCCAGGAAGACTTTCTTCTCAGAGATATTCAAGAAGACTTCTACGGTGCATAAGCCAGAAATTATCACGGATATCCCAGTACCAGAAGAGGATTTCAATGAGAGTGTGGATGATGGGTGGTTTAAGAAGAAAGAGAATGAATTAGAGGTATTTTCAGATATTTCAGTTAAGGGTGTACATATACAGGAGAGTAACGTATTAACAACAGACTTATTTATGAGTGATGAGGAAGTAGATATTCTACCGCAGTTAAAGGTGATGGCCACTCCACCCATAAAGAAAATGAAAAGGGACGTATTACACTCAGCAGAATTTAGTCATGAAGATATTGAAGAATTAACAAGGTCATTTAAAGAGGCAGTGAATGAATAACTTATTATACAATTAGTAATAAGTAACATAATATAGTACACCATGAGTAATAAGTAATAAATAATAAATAATAATAATATATAGCACTATGAGTAATAAATAATGAGTAATAGTAATAAGTAATAGTAATAAGTAATAAGTTATATAATACACTATGAGTAATAAGTAATAAGTTATAGTTATATGGTAATAAGTAACATAATATAGTACACTATGAGTAATAATTAATAAATAATAAATGATTATAATATAGTACACTATGAGTAATAATTAATAAATAATAAATGATTATAATATAGTACACTATGAGTAATAAGTAATGAGTAATAGTTATATATTGCACTATATGTAATAAGTAACATAATATAACACTACTATAAGTAATAAGTAATAAGATTGCACTATTACACTATTATTACTTATTATTTATAACCCGAATGTAATATTTATTACACTATTATTACTTATTATTTATTACACTATATGTAGTAATTATTATTTATTACACTATATGTAATATGTAATTATAATATAATACATATTGTATATTATATTTTATTAATGATTGATGGTTTATGCAGTAATTTCCCTTATTACCTCCTGATCGGGTCGTTCACCCATGCGGTCGTATTTAACAGAAGTAAGCGTATAAAGTACTTGCCATCACATAATACATTCTTCTGTCATTACTTTATATGCTGTATTATTAGTGTACTAATAAAGTGCCTATTTAATGGTCATAGACCAGTTAGTAGTAATATACCACAGGGCTGGTATAAATTACTATCACTACCACCCGTATACGGATATGCACGTACGGTCGTATATAAGTATACATCAAATATATTACGTATACAGCCTACATTAGACATACTTAATATACCCATAGGCATATCAAGCATAAAGAACAGGTACTTTAAGTCAGGTACACCAAGTAGTCACAGTATCATATCTGGGTACTTAATTAGTACACTGTACAGATACAAGTATAATAAAATAACAGTAATACTGCCCATACTTATACCTATAAGTAGGGTTATACACAAACATCATTATATATACCAAGTTGTATTAGGTGTAATTATAGGATATTTATTGGAATTAATATTTTATTACCATAAATGGAAATAACGGTTACCATAAATAGAAATATTTTATTAATTAATAAAATTATAACTCCTTTTTTTCAAAATCAGAAATTTCCTGTGATAAATCCGATTCTAAATGAATTTTTACTATCCGCGGTAAGTCATCCTCAGATACCCCCGATCCCCTCTTACAAGTCCGTACCAGACGCATTAGCCCATCTAACCCCTCAATTACCTCACCAAATACAGTATGCTTGCCATCTAAGTGCGTACAAGAACTCCCTGATAGTGTAATATAAAACTGGCACCCATTCGTATTAGGACCACTATTAGCCATAGCCAGCATACCAACCTTATCATGAACCCTCCTGGGATACCCAGGCACTCCCATCATCTGGTCAGACTCATCAGGGAACTTACCCCAATTATACTTCTCTAATGAACTTATCCCACCCAGGCCGTTCATGTGCTGGACATCACCACCTTGAATTACAAACCCATTAATTATCCTGTGGAATACAGTGCCCTTATACCCATACGCCTTTAAATTACCATTACCCTGTGGGATACTTACAGTACCACAGAACCCTTTAAAGTTCTTTACTGTCTCTGGGAACTGGTCCTTAAACAGTTCTATTTTTAGTGTCGTATGCTCACTCACTCCTTGTGTGTCTGTGTACTTAATGGTCATCACAGCAATATTACCCTCTGATTGACTGTCTTGTATACTGTCTTGTATACTGTCTTGTATGGGTACCTTACCATCTGATTGAGTGCCTTGTGTGAGTACGCTTACTATTACAGTAATTATTATAATCCCTGCTTTAATAACCCGAATTTGCATGGGTTATATTTTCATATCAATTATAAATAGTAATTTATTTTTAATTAATATGCAGGAAGGTGTTTATTACGGGACAATCGAAGAAGAAAGAATGTTATCTGCTGAGGAGATGGATGTACAAAGGAAGAGGAATAAAGTGTATGAGTACTTATGCCGTATGCAAGAAGCACGTGAGTGGATGGAGAATATGATTCAGGAGGAAATACCGGAAGAGTTTGAAGATGCCTTAAAGGATGGGGTTTACTTAGCCAGGCTGGTTAAGTTGTTTAATCCTGGGTTAGTGGGTAAGATATTTATAGATCCTGTATTACAGTACAGGCATACGGATAATATTAACGTGTTCTTTGAGTTTATTAAGTCTGTCGGGTTACCGGTGGTGTTCCTGTTTGATTTGGTTGATTTATATGAGCAGAAGAATATTCCGAAGGTTATTTACTGCGTGCTGGCACTGGCGCATTACTTATCCAAGAAGAAGATAGCTGTGAAACCCGGGAATTTAGTCGGTCGGGCTATCTTCACAGATGACCAGATAACCCAGAAGGAGAGGGAGATTGAAGAGGCTGGGATATCCCTGCCTAGTTTTAGTAGTATTAATAGTACGATGGATAGGGTGTACAGGAAGGAGAAAGTGGGTGTGTGTGAGTATTCAGTGGATGGTTCTGGGATAAATGTGTGTACGCAGAAGAGTCCATTAGAGATATCTACGTATGAGGATGGTGATAAAGTGAGTGATGAAGAGGGTGGCATAAGCATATATTCATGTGAGGAGCGGGTGTCTGCCATGCATGTGATACAGTCGTATATAAGGACTCTCCTGGGCAAGAAGGTGATTAGTGAATTACGAGGGGATGCACCCGTCACTATATTCTCATTACGGCGGATGGTGCACTTATTAAAGGGGGATGAAGAGAAAGAAGAGGTGGTTGTTGAAGAATTGAATAGAATGCTTAACCAGCTGTTCATTGAGAATGCAGAGTTAGAAAGGGAGGTGACTACGGTGGAGAATAAGATATCTTTACTGCTCAGGAATAAGATACAGAAAACCGGGGTTAAGTCAGCTGAGATGCGGCCGTATATGAAGTATAAGTCATTACAGCGACTGTTCTCTAAATTACAGGATGAACCTTCTGTGCTGACCACCCTGATCATGGGCATGCGGCAGAGGGAGGGAGAATTCTTCTGCAGTTCGAAATTGCTGAACTTGTTCGGAGGGGCAAAAACCCCAAGGGAGGAGTACACGTACCTCAGGATTATTGAATCTTTAGTGCATGCGAGTATGGCGTCTAATGAAACGAATAAAGTACTCGGTGGACTGGCACTGAGATCACTTGTTGTAGCACATGGACACACGGACATGCAGAGTACCATACGGAATATGATGAACGAGTCAGTGAGTGCACTGGATATAATACGGTACATCCTTAAGAACGTACACGCACTGCCGTACGCCGTACGGTTCTATGCACGGTCTGTGAGCAGGTCACTCAGCAGGCAGTACACACAGAAGGGCGTAGAAGTAACAAAGCATGCACTTGCCACGGAAGTGTTCCTGTCCCTGTGGGAAATATTCTTCTCGCCGATTATTGTGTCCCCAGAGACTGTCGGACTCCCGGGCGTACAGATGAATAAGCCAATGCTCTTAGAGGAGTGTAACAAAGTGTTTGATAGGATAAAGAGTACACCGCAAATGGGCCTGGATGCAGAGGAGTTTAGTGCAGTGATAAGTATATCTGATGTTGAGTCTATCTCAGAGTACTACACCATGAAGTACATCGCATCCCGGCCACTGAATAATATGCTGTGCTTAACAGGGGACGAGATAAATTACGTACTGGCATCACTGCTGAACTCGTCCGTCCCCGGGGATGTCAAGAACATGGCGGAAGAGTGCCACCCAATCCCGTTTAAATTAGTGTTTATTGTGCCTGGTGGAGTGTCTCCGTACACCCAGGAGAGTGCCGGTGTGGTTGAGAAGCGGCTCTGTAAATGGGCAGTCATAAAAGTGCTTATACACTCAGCAGGGAAGAGTCTCCCAGATATTCTGCAGAGTAAGGTGTACGATATGTCCAACAGCAAGAACAGTGCGTACTCCCTCCAAAATGAGAAGGACATTGAAGCGTGTAAAGATGCCATACAGAAGTACAGCAGTAAATTATTCGACTTGGGGTTACTGCAGAATAAAGAAGAGTGCACAGAGATCCTGCAATTAGCAGCACACGATATGATGAACAGAGTAAAAGCAAGCATCGCCAGGAAAAGAGAAATCAAAGCGACTGAGAAAGCCATTTACAGCCTGGAACGGGCCCGGGAGTTAATTGAGAGGCGGCAGAAGGAGAGTAACCAGTACCTTACAGATATAACGCATAAAGTGATGGAAGCCAGTCGGGAGTACAAGCAGTCTGCTAAGGCACTTTTATTAGAGGGGGTCGTGCTGAGAATGTACAACTGGCAGCCCTCTCAGATGGACAGTATCGAAATATTCTTTAAATCGGGTGCTTCTGGTGGTATTGTTATATCTGTCATGGTGATCGGCATACGGTCGGCGAGTGAGACGGTCTCGTTTGCTGATTTATTAGTCCAGGAAAGTTTTGGAGAGGCGGAAATAACGATCGAGTCACTTGGGGCAGTCTTCTGTATCCCGAAACTTATTGGGGTCATTAACAAAAAAGTACTTCCATAACCTGAAAAATAAATCAACTCATTTTATTATGAAAATACCGTTATTTCCTAATACAGAAATGTAAATTTTTACAAAAATACCGTTATTTCCTAATACAATCATATTGAACACCTTTTATTCTTAACCCTCATTTATGTATGAGATTTGTTATCAGGGAGTGGTGAGTGCATCGAACTCCCAGACAGAATTTCACTGATCGCATTGTCCACATCCCCATGGTGCTTTATAAGTAGCTTTATGTTAGAGCATACGTCCGTGAACCCGCACTCCTTCATGTACTCAACTTGCTTCCTGTACTCCAGGATAGGATTAAAGTTGTACTTGCCCCATGGATTAGGCACGGGCTGATTAGATGGCTGTATATCAGTCGTACCCTCCTTGAAACTAGTCCGATCCCTCTCCTCGGCTAATAATGCACTTGGATCTTTCTGTGTCTTAAGCATACTCCGCAGCATATTAAACCCCCCTGGGATCGTCTCTAACTTAGCCATGGCTATGTCAAGATTCTTCATTTGTGTGTTCATGTACTCAGGATCATCGGCTATTTTAGACATCTGCTCTAACATCTCACTGCTCTCCATTAACTTTCTTAATTCTGGGTTTTCATTCTTTAACTCTGGAAGCATCTCTAATAACCCCTTCATTATATCGGGGTTACTGAATAATTTCTTCATGGCTGGGTTCTTCATCGGACCGGGTTTATCGGCACTGTGCAGGGTTTCTTGCTTGTACACTTCTTCATTTATCTCTGAAGGTCCTTGTGACTTCTCTAACTTATGCGCATACACCACGGACAAGTTCCCTATTTGAAGGGCCTCCATGGTCTTTGCTGGGTCTGCCAGAATAGATCCTTTGTGCGTCAGTTTCAGTAGATACGGTTCTATACTTAACTTGCTACCGACTTTATTCTTTAAATTATCGACTGTTTCAGATGGATCTATATCTAACTCGACTGTTTCTTGCATATGCTTTATAATTATCCTGTGCATTCAGAAGTATAAAGACAGAAAATAACAATAAGAAACAAAAACTATTTATTGGTATTTACCACGGGATAAGAACCAATTGGAATAACTGATAATTTTGACCAATTACTTATAGAGGGACAACTGGCCAATTATATTATAAGGAGGGCTCTTATAGTGTACTTATGCATAAGAAATTAGAATAATTTACATAACCCGAATTAACCCGAAAATAAAAACATAAAAATAAATTTACAGTAAAATAAAAAAATGAATATTTTCATGGGAATAACATATATTTAATGAAAATAACCGATATTTATAGTGTATTTAATGAAAACAACCGATATTTATAGTGTATTTAATGAAAATAACTGTTATTTATAGATATTTAATGAAAATAACCGTTATTTATATATATTTATAATGTATTTATAATGTATTTAATGAAAATAATCGTTATTTATAATGTATTTATAGTGTATTTAATGGGAATAACCGTTATTTATAATGTATTTATAATGTATTTAATGAAAATAACCGTTATTTATAGTGTATTTAATGGGAATAACCGTTATTTATAATGTATTTATAACGTATTTGTTATTTCTTTGGCTTTTTCTAGTGCTATAAGTGTGAGTTGTAATTGTTCTCTCCTTTCTTTTGTTGAAGATTCTTCCTTTAATAGGTCACTGAGTGCCTCCTGTACATAAATACTCTCAATAAGTCTCTGCTGAAGGGTCTGCATGGTTTTATAGACCATTTCAAATATGATTATTTTAGGTACCTGCTGCACAACAGTGGATTTAAACCCAATTAAGTACTCTATGACCGTATGCTTAAGTACTTCTATTTCTGTGGTACGATTAACTAAGTATTCATTATCACCAGAAACACTTGCAGATACAGTAGTAGGAGATGTACTCGTGGTATTAGGCCGTATATATACAGTGTTCCAGTGAAGGAATGATTTAATACTGGCAGTTGCTTGTTTAAGGTTCTCCTTTAACAGGGTCGTAATGGTCTTGCATATTTCTAGTTTTAATTTAGGGAACCTCTCTAAGTGCTCTGTCTCTAAACAAGACTCTCCCATCCGTTGCATCTCTAGGAATATTTTAGTTGATGCGTGTACACAGTGCGGCTGTACTTTATCTGCGGCCATTTCTATAAAGTGGTATAAACTCTGTGACGTACTTCTACCACCGAATACACCGGACGTATTATGTATCACATTCTCAATTTCAGTATCCGTCGCATCGAATAAGTCTAGCTCATTAATCGTCTTAGTGAATAGTACATCTAATGTATACGATACTCTGGCACCATCAATTATCTCCTTGGAAATGTACTTTGCTTTGGTTTTCGGTGTTCCTGATACTTTTCTGTCCATGTCCTGTGTAAATTCACTAATCACTTGCATGATCATTTGCTTATCATCTATAACAGGCAACCCCACACTTAATAATTCCTTCTCGGCTTTGTCATATAAGAAGGATATCCTGTCCTGAAGATACGGAGTGCTTTTTACTATACTCGTCTTTAATAATTCATGTAATCTCGTGATTAAATACGGTATACCACAATATTTTTTGTTTTTTGTGTATACAGGATGCGTTTTAAAATATTCTTTCTCCCTGATTATAGTCGTAGAAATAGAAATATTCTCACGCAGAGATAATTCCCCACGGCATATAACAGGAATAAACCCTAATTTTACATTAATTATCCGACCCTGTAAGACATTTAGTACATCAGTCCCAGGATCCATTAAGTCCACTTTCGTGAGTACACAAAGAGTCCGCTCATAATCAGGATCGACTTCCTTGGCTAGCATTAATGCATCAGAACTGGTTATGTCAGTGTTAGCAGGTGTCACTGCTAATACGACCGTATTCGTATTCTGAATATACGATCGGACTATCTCCTCAACCTTCTTTACTATCCCGTCAGGCTGTCCCTCCGAGCGTACTTTAATTATACCTGGTAAGTCTACCAGTGTAATTGGTAATGTGTCCTGTTTGTGTATACGTAATACGATCGGGATCGGGGACACGTCATTTTTCTTATCTAAGATCCTTTCAGTCTCCGATTGTATTTCTGCTTCTACTTCTGTATACTTAAACACTTGCCCAGGGAGGTGTCCAAATGTACAGTACGGTGCACTCTCTGTGTTAATTATTTGTATCATAAGGGGTCTCCTTGTGACCATCCCTGTGCCCCGTGGGAGTATTTCATGGCCAATTATATTCTCTAGTATACTGCTTTTACCTGAACTCTGTGCACCAACCACGATTATTTGTGGTATATTAATGGGGTTCTGTATGTCTGTGCATAAATTCTGTAATTTATTGACTTTCTCAATTATGCCGTCCATTTAATTGCAAAAAGTAATTTTATAAATAGAAAGTTAATTAAAATTTATGTAAAAATATACTTACTATATATGGTAATGTAAAATATACTTACTATATATGGTAATGTAAAATATTTTAATTAGGTTATAATAAAAACAACAGAACTTATTACACAATGTGTAATTAATCATGCACAAAATAATTTATTATTAAAATATATTACACAACCAGTAATAAATATTAAAATATATTACACAACCAGTAATAAATATTAAAATATATTACACAATCAGTAATAAATATTAACCAAAATTTAAATTATCATTACTTATTACACATTGTACACTATATAATATATAATATATTATATATTGTGTTAATAGTAATAATAAGCTTATAAATAAATATAATAATTAATAATAATATAAATATGTCAAATAAACTTACACTCGGAATATAAAATATAACCCGGTGGTAATAATCAGTAACCCTGTTAGTGAGTGGTTCTTGCCTAATCGGTGGTAGTGGCCGTATATCTACATTATACTTCATTATTATTGCTTTACGCCTTATTTCTCTCTCTTCTGGGGTTATTTTTATTTTTTTATATTTTTCCATATTTTTTTGGTTGCTCTTAATTATTACACACTGTGTAATAAGTTCTGTGTGCTTGGTGATGTTTTACTTTTTACACAATGTGTAATAAGTTCTGTATATTTTGTGATATTCCGTTACTCCCGTAAATTAGTAACACAGGAAATATTCCCATCAGGAATACGCCTAATAACTAGTATATGATTGGTTATCACAGATGGAACAACTTCATTGTTCGGCTTTCTTGAAATTATTTTTTTTATCTTCTTTATTATAAAGATAAGCAATAAAAAACAAAGAATCCCGTGAATGCACAGGATAGAAGGCAGTGCCCGTTGTACTGCTGTTATACTTATAGGGTCCTCCTTACAGGCAGAACTAATTTCTTCATTTGTGTCTGTTTTAGGGTTAATTCGGGTTGTTTTAGTGGTCTTATCTTCTTTTGTTGTTTCTTTCATTTATCGTTTAATAAAAATATTTTATTTTTATAGATTTTATCGGGTAGGTCACAGAGTTTTTAATTTATACACAATATATAATAAATAATAATATATAAGATAATGTGTCAAAAATAATAATATAATATAAAATGTGTAATAAGTAATAGTAAGTAATATATGTGTAATAAGTAATGATTATATAGTATACAATGTGTAATAAATAATGGTTATATAGTATACAATGTGTAATAAGTAATAGTATAATGTGTAATAAGTAATGTAAGACATAAGTAATACTTCATTTTTAAGAAATCATGTATAGTTCATAAGAAATAGTATACAATGTGTAATAAGTAATAGTATAATGTGTAATAAGTAATGTAAGACATAAGTAATACTTCATTTTTAAGAAATCATATATAGTTGATAAGAGATAGTATACAATGTGTAATAAATAATAATAAATAGTATATGTGTAATAAGTAATGTATAATGTGTAATAAGTAATGATTATATAGTATACAATGTGCAATAAGTAATGATTATATAGTATACAATGTGCAATAAGTAATATTATAATGAATAAGTAATAATAAGTAATACTTTATTTTTAATAAATTATATATAGTTCACAATATACGTAAATATGTATACATTCGTATTATTTTTAATAACCCGAAATATACAATATCAGCCGAATTTATGATCAAAATATCTCTATAATAATAGATTTAATGTAAATAAAAACAATATGCCACACTCTAAAAGTAAAAGAACTATAATAACATATTTTAAAGATGGAAATCAGTTTATTGATATAAGGCTCAAGGGGCCTTGAACGGATGGCCATCGAGTGCCACACACTCTCTAAGCCGATCTTAGTGCCCCTAGGGCGGCAAGAACTTGGACATTAACTCATACAATACGGCATTAGTAAAGAAACTGCCTATTGCGCCTTCTTATACCAGCAAAACAAGTCAAATGGCATTCAATATGCTTCTAGCAGTCTCAGCAGTTAGTACTTATGTTCTTCAGAAGATCTTCTTTATTATATAATTAACATAACCAATTGAGTGTATATACTCCATCTGAATAGAACAGTTAATTAAGTATCTAGTTCTTCTAGTCTTTTAATTACTCTATTAAAACAGACTATTTTTCTCTTTTTAAATTATTCTTATTGCTTATTGACGTACTCACAAGGAGTAACGCCACCGCCACCCTGCTACGTAGCCAAGAGAGAGAAGAGAATGAAAGGGGAGAGCTCTTTATTGCCTTTAGGAAGCGGCCTAAGTCAGCATAAACACGGAGTCTCGGGCGCAGGTGTGTTAGGCCTGGCGCTGAAGTTAAGCCATCGATGCTTCTCTGAGTCTTCCTCCAATTTTTAGGGGAAGATCTCCGGTTAAATAGTCGGAAGTTGATATACTGATTCAGAGATCCCGGCCTTTGCTTTGGCGGGATCACCGCGCGAGCTGGCGCGCAGACGGATCGCCCTCGGGGCTCACGTCTGAGTGGTGGTGTCACCACAATTTCCTTAAATATATAAATCCCAAATTTTATATAATTGTATAATTATCATTAAATACACTGATAGTTGTTTTCTTAAAGAATGGCATTAAGATACTTTGACTTTTATTGAATCTGTATACGTATTTATAGACCGCATAATCAATTTAATTTATGTTGACTTGTTGTGTTAACAAATATTTCTGATTTAATTTGTGCTGCCCTGTTTATGTAAACACTCCGATAACTCATTTCATGCTACACAAATGCTAGTCACAGTATACAACATATTCAATTATTTCAAAAATATTATCACTATATGTGTATATAACAGCAGCAATACTCATTATTAATAAAATAATATATACTATAGAAGCAATGTATTCGCTAATGTGTCTATTTGAATGCCTTTTCTTATAAACCATATATATATTATTGTATAATACAATTGTTCTGAAAAATAAATATCCGTATACTATTATATTTGATATAATAGAATAATCTTCAACTAATCTTAAGATTAAAGAAACTATCCACATAATAACTGAATAACCTATTTTTCCACATGCCACAGCGAATAACCCGAATACTATAATACTTATTATATTTAAGAGAATATTTTTAGATTTTATAAATATCCAATATACTGACTCCATTAATCCTATAATAATATAACTACCAGAAATAATCCGGAGTAGTGTATAAAGGAAATTACCACTTAATACATATTCATGAAGGAATGGGTGTATATTTGTGGGTATTAAATTACTTAATGCATGGGCTGATTTTTCTTCAATCGTATGTAATGATTTAAGTGATAATAAGTAGAATGCAACTACTATTATACTACCAACATAAACTGAATTATATGCATTATAATACTTAGTAGGAGGTATGGCTGTCCATTTTTTTTCAATTTCTTCATGGCTATCATCACCATTAATAACAAAAGTCCTTATGCAATTATGAATATTGTCTTTATCAGTTTCGAGTGGTATATTCTCGTTATTCGAGCATAATACACCAATAAATAGTACTTTTATATAATTGTATAAATAGATAAAATCTATCTCTATATTTTTAACTTCTAATTTAACCAGTTCTCCCATATGTAAATAACTTATAAAAATTTAATTATATTTATAAATGAATAATTTTGATTAGGAGATAGGCGCACTATCTCAAGTATCGACAGACAGTTTGGTTGATGCGCTTCTTGGGGGAAGTTACCTAAACACGCATGGAGGACTCTGTTCCGGGACTATCCCGAAACTAAGGCCCAGTGCGTACACCGTAGCGTGAGTACTACTCGCGCGGTGGCACGTTATCTCAGTGCCATCATCCCATTGAGGAGTGACCGTATAAAGTCCTACTTTATAAGCCACGTTCCTCCACCCCTAGCAGTCAAAGACATTAACTTGTTACGGCCGCCCTAGGGGCACGAGGAACGGCTTAGAGAGAACAAGAAGAGAGTGTGTGGCGCTCGACGACCATCCGTTTGAGGCTCCTCGAAACTTATACCAATAAACTGTTTTAAACTAAAAAAATATGGCTTGCCATAAAAATATTTTATAAATTTTCTCCTTTAAACATTACGTTATTTAACTGATTATTAATGCATGTTTAATTAAGAAATAGTGTATTGATGTAATATATCATGAACTTCAGCAGGATACACTACTAGCACTACAGACATATTTTCTGAATATCATCGAATATTGCTATTTCATGCTATGATAGCTGTAGTAATTAAA